TGCAAAAACAAAACAACTGGAATGTTGCTTAGTGGAAAATTATAACTGACTCATGCTTACCTAATCTAGTGCTAATTACGATAATCTATCCAATCTGTTCTATAACCATTTTTTCCCCTTTTATTCGCAAAATTAAACCATGAAATAACTATTCGATTAAAAATCACATATATATATGATATTGGCGAATACTACATTATTTTTTGATTACTAATCACATATTTTTGTGAATTTTGCGCATGTTGGCTGGAAGTAACATTTCTGTGTATCGATATTTATCGAAAAATATCTGATATTTGCAATTATCGATAAAATCTTGATATTTTAAATTGATAACTTTAGTAACAGCATATAGACTTCAAAATTTTGTATTAACGAATTTGTAACAAAGGTTTGATATAACAAAATATTCCGTATATCAATATTTATCGAAAAAGGTTTGATATTTGTAATCGATAACTTTAGATGGAACAAATGTATTAAATATACATATGTATATTTTTGAACAAAACTCTGACTCGCTACTGTATTCTATTGAAATTTTGTATACCAAATTACCGTTTTATTTTAGCCACTATTTTTCCCGGTAGTAGTTTTGCAGAAGTAAATAAGTAATCTTTGTAAAAAAAATACATATTATTTTTAATTTTACAAGATGCAGTATTTTGGTAAAAAAAATAACTATAATTATTACTACTGTTACAAACTATCGATAACACAAATATCGGTATTTTTTAAACCGATAACCTCTATACATAAGTACTAATATACACTGAACACATATTTCTGCCTACAAAAACATCATTCACTTACCGTACATAAAATTTCTGACCCTTCATCCAACCAGGAGGTGAGGTACGTTAAGTTGCCACTAAGAATCGACCTTTTTATAACTATTTTATTTTTGAGTATATCATTGAAATCAGTTAAAAATATTTATGTTAGATAGTCTATCTTTAAAAAACCTCCACATAAAACCGTTATTCACAACATTGTTTCAAATGTCATACAGACGCAAAATGTGCACCCCACTTTATACTGTCTATGGTATAAGCAAGACTGCGCAAGATATAGCGTCAGTTTATGAATATACAGTTTTATTTCTCAAATAATAAAGCTGCTACATAGAATTCGATGACGGCCATTGATTGCGCTTAGCAACTGTTATGACGTCGACTATTTGAGATGTCATTATCAATTAAAACCAAAACTGTGTACCCAAATAGAAAAAATAGTAATTATAAATAAAGAAGAGTAGGTTAAATAGTGAAAAAAATTGTAGAAAGAGCTAGCGAAATCTATATACAATCTTTAAATTTGACAACTACTGCTGTCATGCGATAGTAGCATGACAAAAAAGCGCATAAAACAGAAACGAGGTCAACCGACACGCTGTTATGGTATATATGGGCATTCTCAAATTAAAGCCACACTCTGAATATTCAAAAAAAAAGTATATACATATGTAAATAATTATGCACTTAAGAGGGAAAAACGCACTTGAAACGTTATTGAAAATCAAAGCAGGCGTTTACCGATTGTCACATGCGCAATATATAATATGTATTTCGGCGGTCAGCTGAGTGACTGCGGCTTAAGCAACATTAGCAAGTGTCTAGCACCTTGACGGGAGAATTAATGTGTACTTGTCAAACACGTGCTTGACGTAAATGTCAATAAATGTTACAGAATGCAGCCGATAGTGAAAGCTGTGCTCTTATACTATGCAGTAAAGTTATCACTTTTGAACGGCGAATTACAAATAATTAAGAATGAAATAAGAGGAAGGAGAAACGTTAACTTCGGCAAACGTTAACTTAACCAGACATCAAAAAACACAATTGCGCATGGCAAACACCCAAAAGCTGATTTAAAATATTTGTAACCTTTTTATCACACAAAATTATCTCGATTTTTATGTACACACTGACCATGCGTTATAACTCATCACAGAAATTCTATAGAGCTTTAATTTAAGCATGCATATTAGAATTTTAATCAACAGGTAGTCACCTAAGTATACAGATATTTATTGTATGTAGATTGCTTTCAGCTGGTATCTTATTTTCTTTTAGAGCAAACTTAATTTGGTTCTTATCTTAAAATGTTTCGCGGTGACTTAAGTTAAGTTAAGTTAAGAACTTAAGTTCTTTGTAATTTTTTCGCTACATCATTTATATTTCGCGTGGTTAGGAAATTCATAGTTCTTAAAAAATCTTGAATACTTTGTACTGTGCTACAGCAAACGAAAATTATTATCAATTAATAGCCCTTGATTACGATAACATTATCGAAAACAGTAATTAAAGTATCACTACGTCGCAGAGGCTACTCGTGATGACTTTTTCCCTGCTTACATACCGACGAGGGATATGTGGATGGAGAGGAGTCGCTAGAGAAGAGGGTCTGTCTTAACTAGAAATAACAGCAAGCTAGTTCAACATCAGACTTGTTTGAATGCCTGGTCATAGCGGAATAGCTGGCAACTGCAAAGCCGACGAGCTAGCCAAAAGAGACATCCTTGCACCGCTCACATTGGGATGGGACCGAATTGAATCTCCATTGGCATCTAGCGTACTAGCACTGGATCATTAGACCACAGCAAGCACTGGTCGAAGACCCGCTCCTGTACGACTGCAAAATCCTTTTGAACTACTTGCCCTTAGCAAAGTTCAACCGTAGACACTGTCCAATAAAAATATTGATGGAAACAAATTGTCAAAGTTGTATGCATGAGAGCGAGGTGGAAACATCTAAGCACTTTCTTCTCCATTGTCCAGCATTTGCAAGGCAAAGCCGGAAGCACCTCGGCAATCTTACTCTCGGCGAACCAGAAAACATAACAGAAATTGGCATAAGCCGTCTCAACTAATTTGCTGAGGGACTTCACGTATATACATTTATGTTTTTAATTTTACAGCTCTACAATGCCTTCTTCACGGAATCACACAAAATAAACTGTACTTAGGAAGAATGAGAAATTTTTAAAAGCAAGGGGTAAATTCGTCCCAAGCCGAATATCGAATACCCATATATTTGATATTACTAGGAAGGGATTAAATCTGAAGCAAAAGTGTACCGGACCAACTACATGTTTTAAAAAGCGTGTTGTTGAAGCAATTACTTTTCTCGATGGAATGCATTGGATCTCCTCGCGGAATTCTGCTCCACTACACAAGGCAAAAACCACCCAGTAGTGGCTTAAGGGTTTTCTGGAGCAAAAAACGGCTTATTTTCAAGAATTAAAAATTTTATTCAAACTATTTATTAGGTATTCCAAAGATACATATTTGCAAAAATTTTGTGAATAGTTCTCTAATATATACTTAACAACGACATCAGAAAAGACGGAAGACTTTTTTCTTGTCTCTTCCTTTTAATTCAAAAAATGGAAAATATTTATCGAATGGGTAATCAACTTCAAAGATGTTTATGAAAATACACTTAAAACTTATTTTATGCTCTTTTGTATGGGAGATATATGTTATACAAAGCTGTCCGATTTTCTTTATTATCCCTGTCATTGTTAAGTATATGTATATGAGAGGACTATTCTCCAAAATTACGAGCTCTTAGCTTAATTGAAGGCAGGATATCGAAAAAAAAACTGTAAAAGCGATTCCGACAAATGATCAATAGAATATCAAAATGCAGCTATGTATTAAATTTCATTCGGAGATCTCAAAAACTGATGAAGAAATTTTTAAAATTCCTAAAAGATAAACATTGACTTAAAAATCGCTGGCTCGAAATTTGGTTTAGACCCATATTCACTAGGCAAAGGTGTTCAGAATGAACCGAATATCTTAGCTTATTCAGTTAGTCGCAGTTGAACTTGCTCTGCTGCGAGTGTTGAAATAAATGAGAATTGAAAAATAGTCGACAACTTACGACTATCCGGATGGTGCAAACCGAATATCATTATTCGAATAATGCCCTCTCCGGTTAATCCGTTTAGTCGATTAGTCGAATACCAAGAGCTCTAGTATATATACTGACTAGGTTCAAATTCATATAATTATTAGATGAAAAACTGAATATACCCTGTGCAAAAAGTGCTACGCCAGTATAAAAAAATATGCTGGCATTGGATAAAAAGTTTTAGTATGCCAGTGTGCATATGTATGTAACGTTCAGTAAGTCGTCTGGTAGCTTTAAAGGCACATACAAACATACAAACTGTACATAGATATATACATGCATATATACAAAGATACGCCAGCAAAAAGACACGCGACTGATCGCATTGTGCGATGAGGAGTGTAGTCGTAGCAAGTTTATCTATTGGTTAAATATGTGCATGTCAGTTAGGGAATTCCCGTTTTTTTTGCACTCGTGATTTATTATTTTTTATACCCTAAACAAGTGTGCAAACAAGATATATTAAGTTTACCACGGAGGTTGTGACACCTTGAAGGAAACGGCGGAGATTCTATAAAGTATATACTTAGTATGTAATTAATCAGCGTGGCGAGCTAGGTCGATTTAGCCATACCCGTCTGTCTCTATATACGCGAATTCGCTCCTTAGTTTTTGAGATATCGACCTAAAATTTTATACAATATATCATATAGCTGTCATGCAAACTGACCAATCAAAATCAAGATACAGATTTTTTTTATACCATTTCATGCCATAAGAAATGCACCTGTGAAGGGTATTATAACTTCGGTGCCGTCGAAATTAATGTACATAATAATTTTTTTATTTGTATTCGCAATATACATACCTACATTTAAATTTTTATTTCAAATACTTTTTGTTGTTTGATTTTCTAGCGTTATTAGGCACTATTTTACTTATTTAAAATGTTTATGATATATAGATACATATGTATGTATATGTATGTATGTATTTCATTTCTTCGGTATTATTTGTTGGCACTGTAACTATGCCTACACTCTACATACATACAATACATATGTAATGTATTTAAATATACATATATATCCATCTGCATACATATGTATATGTATGTACATACATATTTACACACATACCTTTGTTAAATGTTGTTATCACATCACATCAATTCTTCTGTTGCTTATTTCGTATTTTCGAAATACAATTTTTTTGTTGTTGCTGTTATCAGGCAAGCTGTCAGCTATTAATTACTTTCTTTCATAAGAATCTAGGAGGTGAATAACACAAGAATACGTTACAAGTGAAATGCTGACTCAAGCACAGGTATTGCTTAAACTAGTGATCACAATATTATGAATATACATATGCATTTTAACTTTCCACACTTTCGCCGTCGCACACACAACACTTTAAGATAGTTCTCTTATTTGCAGGAGGTATGTACAATGAATGGTTTTATTTCACACGCTAGCACTGGCGTTTTATAATTGTGTTTTTTAAATTTTTTTATTTTTATTAAATTTTCCTTTTAATTTCTTTTTTGCCACACTATTTATTAGCTTAGAATGAATATTTGTATTTTTCTTTGAACAAAATTAATATATTTGGGAACACCACACAAATCAACGCTTGTGTTATTGCACTTTTTTACATAATTTCGCGCTCGTCGATATTCCTCCAATAATCAAAACAGCAACAACACAGCAGGAAGTAGCGACGGCCGATAAGTGCAAGCAGATAGAGCGGGAATATTTATTGCCAAACGCTTTACTAGGCACCAGAGCTAGCGTTAGCCACTTAAATGCAAATGTTCTTAAGTTCATGTATATATATATACATACATACATACAAATAAACGCCCAATATGTCAAAATAACTGATGGCAGATTGGACTTCGTTTTCTGTTTGGTAAACAAATGTATTAACACAACAATTTCAATTGAAAATATAGCATAGCAATCATTTAATAATTACGTGTATAACTTTTTTAAAAACGTTGAATCTTGTCATAAAGAAATAAAGTTTTTCACTGCGAAGGTAACGTCGATATATTTACCTAACGTTTCGATTTTTTTCTGGCACAGCGCGACGCAATCAGCTGTTGGGTAAAGCAAATTATTATTTTGTGGAAATTGCGTTAGAAATGTTGGTCACGGCACAATAAATACGATTAAATATATGTAGATATTTATGTACATATATACTCATGCGTTTAGTAACAAATCAACCAATCAACCAACTCACAAAAACTCAGACGACCGACTGCTGCATTTGACGACCCAACCATTGTTTGCTGTTGTCACTTTTGTTCGCTAACATTTGCTTTGCGCCGACTGGTCTGCCGTTGGCTTGTGCTCTGGAAACGTTTGCAGCTTTATTTTGTATTGGGCAATATTTATGTATTAATGGGGGTACTTATATAAAAGAATTGTTAAAAATGTTTGCTCTTATTATTTGGTTTACTCTTTTAATGCACAATTGACTCTCTTTATGTTCTAAAGAGCTTAGGCATCAGCTGATGCTGACACATATGTCAGTTTATATACGTAGAAACTATAAGTGAATGAACGGAGTAAAACATTTACTTAAGAGCGTCATATTGACTGATTTAAGTTTTAAATTTGCTATATAATAAACATACACATATTATGTATGGGTCTATGATACAATAACTTTTATTCTCGATAATTAAATTTTAAAATTTTTTTCACAAATTATAATAAAAGCACAAAACAGAGCTAAAAATTTCAATCAATTTTGCTTCTAAGATATATCTTGGAAGTTCATATAAAGGTTAAGGCAGCTTTATAGCAACATATCTGCTTTTGTAAACAGCTGTTTGTCTTCTCTTATCATATTTCGTAAACAAAATAACCGACAACAATAACCTCAAAAGCAGAAGGAGAAAACACCATAGTAACCGTGGCGAAATAAATAAATGCAGTAGTTTTTATTGAACAAACAATTTTAAAAGACAAGCATATAAACTACGTAACATAAACCAGAAAGCTCAATGAAATGGACAAACCGCAAATGATCGAGCACATACATCAGAATGTGGACTATACAATTTACGATGTGAAATGGATACCATGCTCTGCGAAATTTGTGGTACTCGGGTCGAAGCCCAATAGCAATGGTATTTTACAAATATATGAGCTAAATGAAGCAAAAGCTGAGAAAATTAAGCAAGTTGTCAAAAAGACGGCTTTCAAATGTGGCACTTTTGGCGCATCCAGTCTGCGTAATCGTCATATGGCAATTGGTGATTTTGAGGGACGTATGCAAGTACTGTGAGTCCATGTAAATATTTTTATTTACAATAATTGTACTGAATTACGCTTTATACTTGCAGAGATTTGGAGCGACCAGATTTGCCGGTGTACAATGTCGAGGCGCACAAGAGTATTATAAATGCGATTGATGCCATTGGCGGCAAGCAGTTGGATTGTGGTGCACCAGAGATTGTCACGGGTAGTCGTGATGGCGCCGTCAAAGTGTGGGATATGCGTCAAGGCTCTGCGCCGGTAGTCGATATTAGCCCGGAGACAATAAAGGGCGATGGCATAAATCGCAATGAACGACGTGACTGTTGGGCTGTCGCTTTTGGCGATAGCTACAATAATGCCGAACGCTGTGTGGCCGCTGGTTACGACAATGGCGATCTTAAGCTATTTGATTTGCGTCAACTGGCCGTGCGCTGGGAAACAACACTTAAAAATGGCATATGTGGCATTGAGTTCGATCGCGCCGATATACCAATGAACAAAATGGGCGTCACTACACTCGAAGGTGGACTGATGGTATATGATATGCGTACGCAGCATCCAACGAAAGGATTTAGTTGTGTGGAAGAACGAAATGCCGGACGTAGTGTTGGTTCGAATGGTGTTATAACGGGACCGAAATCAACGGTTTGGGCTATAAGACATTTGCCACAAAACCGAGATGTATTTGTTTCTTGCGGCGGCACGGGCTCTATACGTTTATGGCAATACGAGTATCCAGAAAAACGACGCAAAACCGATGCGGATGAAAACGAAATTGGCGTAGCTGGCACATTGCATATGTTGCATGCCTCAACTGTATCGTCGCAACCGGTACATTGCTTCGATTGGCATCCCGACAAGTTGGGTTTGGCTGTGTGCGGTTCGTTCGATCAGTGTGTGCGTGTTTTAGTGACCACGAAATTAAATTTACTTTAAATAAATATGAGCTGTTGGTATTTAGAATAGAATTTTTCTTTATTATAAAATATTACAATAGTTTGCGTTTGTGCTATACTTAAAAACAAGATTAAACTAAGATATTATCAGCTTGTATTCATGCGCTCCTTAACCGTCGTCGTCAGCGACTCGAGTTGCGCTTTCAATACCGTTAAAGTTTCCTCATTTTCCGGCCACTTCTCATTAACTTTCGCCGTGGCACGTAGCACTGCCTGTGCTGCAAGACGCGCAGAATTCAGTTGCGATGTAATCATTACGTCAGTTTCTTCTGGCGCATGCTCCTTGGTTGCTTCCAATGACAATTCGCATGCTTGCTGACACACTTGTATCACTTTGAGCGCATACGGTTGCTTCGACGCCCACTCCAGCTCCTTGGTAGTGTACGCATTCACAGCTTTAACCAACTTTTGTGCCCTGTTCAGCGATGTGGGGGCAAGTAGTGCTGCCAATTCCCATACTTTCGGTTCGTTGCCATGCTTAATGCATTGTTGTGCCATTAAAGTGATAGCTTTCTTACGCAAACGCTCCTGCGTTTGACCTTTGGCGTCAGGTTTGCCTTCCACAATGGCACCGATTGTAACGCATAGCACTTCCAAGTCTAGATAGCGATCCTTCAACTCACTGAGACGATTATAGGCATTCAGGGCGTCTTCTAAATTACACGTATCCACGGAGACAATCATAAAGTTTTCCCAAACCTTTAAAAGAAAAATTAATATAGTAAATAGATAGTAGAATAAGCAGCTTCTTGGGGAGAAAGGAACGTGGGCTAAATTTAAGTTCGATATCTCAAAAATACAGACAGACGAGACGAACAGGCAAACATAGCTAAATCGACTCAGCTCATCAAACTAATCATTTATTCTTCTGCATGTTACAAATTTATACCCTGTTCAGGATATATGTAAAAAGGATTAAGCAAACAAAAATAAATATTATTACCTTCCAGTTGTTGTAATTACATTTCAGCGATTCGCTTAAAACTTTGTGTGCGCGAATTTTATCGCCCAATTTTACTAGCGCTTTTGCTAGGTTATTCCACGATTCAAAACCCAATGGCTCGATATGTGTATATGTTATATACGCGTGAACGGCGAGCTCCCAACGCTCCAGTTGTATGGCAGCGAAGCCCAAGCGTAGCCATATTTTTTCTTGTAAGGAATTTATCTCTACGGACTTTTCTAAATGTGGTATGGCCTCAGCATATTCTGCTTTACGGAAATAATATGTGCCCCAGTGTGCTTGTGCTCTGCCGCTGGTATGTTTGGAGAACTCCCACGCTGTAGCGTAACAGTTGTGATCATCAATGGCATCGCCGAGCAGGCAATGCAACAACACAGTGGGTTTCTTTTCCAATTCTTGTCTTATTATTTCGGCGGCCTTATGTCGCAGTTCCAACTTGGTATAGCATTGTATAACTTCGGCCCATGCTTGTATTTGCAGATAAATATCTAATGCCGTTTTAGTCATACCCAATGACAACAATAACTGGCATAGCTGCATTTGTACTTGCCATTTGGGTTGTAGGAACCCAGCAAATGCGTAGGAGAGTCGCTCTGGTAATGTAAATATGGGTCCGTCAAGTAATTTAACGGCACCTTCACACTGCTTCCAACTACGCTCCACTGTGCGCCGCTGGTTCGACTCTTGCACACAATTAAACAGTAAGGCGGATTGGCGTACTTGGAGTGGTCCATGTTCCTGATATAAAAGCGTTTTTATATATGGCTCTAGTTCTTCGTCGGCAAGTCGATCTTTTGGCTGCGAACGTTTGAGCTGTTTACTATAAAATATATATATGACATAATACTAGAATGGATACAAAAGTATAACAGTAATATTTACACTTTTGCTAACACCAAAGCCTGCAATACGCTAGGCAGTGTCATGACTTCGTTATCTTTCGGTTCAATAAAACGTATACGCTCGAGCCTTGTATCGTCATCTAAAAGCAGTAACTTTGGTATATTCGTTTTGCCGTGGGTGGCCTCCGCCGATGTCAAATCCCTGTTGGTATGTTGCACTTTCAAACAGAGTTGTGGCAACGGTTTCTGCTGAAACTTCGTGCGCACACCAAGTAATCCTATTTAGAAAACAGTTAAATTTACGTGTAACAAAATATATTACTAAGCAAATACCTTCCACATTTAACACTATATCAAAACGTTGGCATAACTGTTCAAGCACATCGTCTGCTTTTTGTGAACGATGAAAAAGTAAATAACAATTTCCCAACTCTAAGTAAAGTAAGGCTTGCAGTTCCTTGTTCTGCAGTTTGTCAACATTTTTCAATAAACTTTCAGCTACTAATTTAAGCTGTTCATATAAATTGCCGGTGAGTTCATCGATTACACTCTGCTGTATGTAAATTAAACGCATATGCCACCAATGCAGATACTAAAAATGTAAACGAAAAAATATGCTTACTATAATTAAGTAATATTACGATATTAAATAACTACTTACCAATGAATTCGGCCAAAACTGGCGCAATAAATCTAAAATTTCTTTTGCTAACACTAACAACTCGCCCAGTTTGACATTTGGGTTTATTTCTTCGCCATTTTCCATAAGTCGCTTAAAAGAATCGTACTCTTCCAACGATTTTTTTTGTAGAAAATTGCTGAACTCTTCCAGTTGTTTGAATGGTCCTGTAAAATTGTTTTGCACGAACACGAGTGTCAGCTCAACGGCTTGACAAAGTAATGTATTCGCTGCTTCTGAATTTGGCTCCGTTGCTTTATTAACCCTCCAATTATCTAAAATACTTTGTAAACGCGTCGTTGTCCATTGACAAGACCAAAGCTGACGCAAAGCTTCTGTAGGCAAATCTGTTAGCAAGAAATAATGCTATATTAAGTGTCTTACATGTATAGCAATTTGCTAAGAAAAATTACCTTCTAATTTAATAATTTCATTGAAATTGCACAAATGATACTCATTGAATGGTTCGGCACTCATTTTAAAAAGTTTATTTTATTTTATTTGTTTTTAAATACGCCCAAATTACAAAGCTTGGAATGTCACACGTGCGTTTTTAAACGTTTGTTTTCGTTTATTTTTTTTTTCTGCCAAATGCATTCAGATCAGCTGATAAGTTGGGGAACGTGATGACAACAGAAATCGAGAACTGTCTATTTTAACCTTTATTAAATAAATTGATAGCTTCTATTGGTGAAAAAGCTACATTTTTTTTTCACAAAAACAGAAGTCCAAATTAATGAGATCTTTTATTTTCGTATAACATTTATAAAACTAACAAACTTAAGCCGATAATTGTTAACTTTTACTTATATAATAGATACATATGTACCTATGTATATAACGATGGTTTGAAAAATTACTTAAAAACACGTTGCTAATGACATCAGTAAAATTTTAAATAAATTAATGAAAACTAAAACAATAATGATTTCTAACATTTTGGCCTATACGGATTTCTTAAAATTACTGAATAAAGTTATGTGTAATTCATGTTAAAACCGAACTAGATATACTACGTTGAAAAATTTACTATTAATATTCTGCTAAAACAATGTCGGTTTAAATTACTCTCGGAAGCTACTTGTTCCATTATTTAGCTAAATTTAAATAAATTAAGTGTTTTTTAAAGTTAACATAGTTGACAAACAATTTAAAACGTATTATGTACAAATTTACGTTTTGTGAATTCTTATCATTGCCCTAAATATTTTTTTCACTATAATACACCAACTGATGTACGACGGACTATTCAAATCGAAATGCACTAATTATTTCCATAATAAGATTACGGTGTCTACTATCTTCTATTCCTAATAACTGCAAATCCAGATATTTCAACTCCAAGAACTGTTCTAATTCAATATTATGCTCAGCAAACAAATCCATATACATTTCCAAATTAACACTTGCTAGTAGGGCACATACACTGAGTGTTTCATTTAGGAAGCTATTGCCGAAATTAGACTCTGAGGCATCAAGATTTATTTGTCCTAAGGCATGTTTTAAAAAGTCCACATCATTTGGCTGCTGTAACTGTATCACTTCACTGTGATAACTCCCGCGACGTGTAATCTGAAATAAAAAGGTAAAACATCCGTGTGATATTTACAAGTATCAACTATTATTATTTGCACCACTCACCTGCGACGTGTTCATCAATGTTGAATTGTTTGCCATTGTATTTACTTGTAATGCTTTGCCGTGAACTTAAAATGTTTAACGAACAAGTTGATATATTAAATGGATTTAAAGTATATAAAATCAGGTAACATGACAACAAAAACAAAAAATAAAGGTTACCACAGTTATTGACTATTTCTTCGCCGGTAAAAGAAAGCTAGTAGTAGTTTGCACAGCAGACTTTCTACTGTATGCATTTTGAAGACTTCTACTTTATAAATAGCAATTTTCATTTTAATTATAATAATTTAATTAGGATAAAGTTCTTTTTAATATAATTATTTTAGTATTTTTTATGTACTATATGGCAGCATACTGCACGCGTTTCCGAATACCATTTTCAAGTTAGAGCCGCTATACCAAAAGCCGTTATATGAATCTATATTTCTATTGTACAATATTATTGTGACACAATAATTTTATTGTACAATAAATTTCAGTACTTATAAATTATGACACCGTTTTCTTACATGTATTGAATTGAAATACGCTTATATATCCGCTTATTAAAATTGCGTCGACTTTTACAAATTTGTAAAATTACATGCCTAAAAAATAATGTACAATAACAAAATGCGTCATAATAAAATTTTTCTTTAACACAGCATATATATAGTATATTCTATTTATCTACCGCGAAAGCCGCAACAACTTCAACTACATAAATATGAAACAGCATAATATGCTACGATGTATACCTAGAGCAACGCTGAGAGCAAGAGAAAGCAGTAAGTACATTATTTTAAATAAATACCATTTAGGAGACAACTGCTCAGATATTTTATAACGAGTCGTGTACACTGCATATAAGAGTGAACGAAAAAGTACGCCAAGTAATGATATAGCGTGAACGAATAGTGCGTAGTTATCAGGTATGGATTTGGAAGAAACGAACGGTGCGTTTCAACGCTGTGGCCGCCATTTATTGAATTCTCTGTGTGAAGTTCAGCCGTGAGTAGACTTGAAAAACTTGTACACATTTTCCAAGTGGGAAAATTGTGGTAAAATCTTCCAAAAATATCATAAAAAGTTGTAAAAAAATAAGTGTTAAGTGCGCGCTTTACGAAATGACAAAAATAATGTAGAAATACGTGCTTTAAACACGTAATTTCGAGGTTAAAAAAATTTTCGATGCGGAACTCGCTATTAAAGCCAGTCGCGCTTTATTCACCATTACAAATAATTTAGTGAAAAACAAATTTAAAATCCAAATAAGAGACGGTGTGTGCTAACCCTAATTAAACAAACTAGTTTTTAAAAGTTTGAAATTTTTAAAGTTAAAAAAGCAAATATAAATTTTTTTTAAGTTTTATTTGCATATAGAAAGGGAAGTAAGAGAGTAAAGTAACTAATAGGGAAACTGAACGAATAACCGAACCACAACGAGTGAATTGTGTTGTGTTTTTGCTTATTGAAGTGAGTGCGGAAACGGGGGTACTTAGAATTAGGGACAGAGAAAATACAGGCTATAAAATAAATACATATGTATATCAAGAGCTGTAATGTATTCGTTTTAAAAACTACTTTACTTTTCATTTCTAATTAAAACTTACTCAATATGGTTAAATTAAATTATGCCAATTATCGTCAACTTTATTGAGGTATCATAAAATCACTCAATTTATAGTTTTTAACATGTTTTATATATTCTGTATATATATATACATATAGGTATATATTTTGATATATATATATATATATATATAATAAAAATACCAAAATTAGAAAACGAGGAAATCTAACATACTACAAACGTTTGCTTGAAACAGAAATCCAATTGGTATTTTTATTTGTGTATAGGCGCACGTCGCAACGGATGTACGTACATCCATGCACACTTAGGTGTGCATCCGCAAATATATGATTTTTCTGTGAGTGTACGAGACAACTGGATGTCTTATATATATGAACATTTTTACAAACGTATATACGCATATAGTATTTGGACTGAGGGATATACAGGGCTCACGTAGAATACTTTGAACATTTAAAATTGCATGTTTGCCTCTGTGTAGCAGTATAGGGTGCTATTATAATGAAGGAAAAAAGTACAAACGTCAGAAAGAGAAAAATCTCAAAATATGTTAATGCTTTTGTTCCATCGTGGTGTTCGGTATTCGGTGAACATTACAATATATTAACGTGAATTGATTGCGAACACCTCGCCACTATTGTATTGACGTTGCACCAACTACAAATTTCTCCCTTTTACATATATTTGCACTGGCGAAATAAGTTGAATATTAAATTTTAGTTTTTAATTTAATTTTAATTATAAATATGAATGCTAATAGTCGTGCATAGGTATCCGTTTGTAAGAAATGGCTTGCTTATATTGAACAATGATAATTTTGTTTATAAAAATAGGAAGTTGAAGTCAGTTTACAAGTGCTGTGCGGAAATTTGAAAATATTAACTGAACTACTGAATTGTGAATTAAATAATGAATTATGTAAAAGTTCATATACATAGAATGTGACTAGATTTCATTTGAAAAAATTTTTAAAAGTGAACTGAAATTTGAACGCAGTTTGAAAATGCATATTAAGGTAAGTTAGTAAATATTGTAATATGTACAAAATAAAATGCATACTATTTGCTGTTTATTTCCTTAACTGTAATTAATAAGTATCACAGTTCTTTATGAAAAAATTATTTACAATTATGTTGTTCCAATTTCGAAGATCATGGTATACCACAATTTTACTGCCATACGTACAGAAACAAATTTATGTATTCTGCTGACTGCATTCGTCCATCGGCATATAACGATGCCGATTTGAACTTCAATGCATTTTCTAAATCTATGAGACAATTTGTGTATGATTTTTTTTGCTTCCCCAATTTAAATTGAAAATGAAATTTTATTGATGCATATATAGCTATCGATATTTTTGTTTTGTAAAAATTGCGCGCTCTCGCCTGAAAACGTTCCAAATTTTGAGTAGTTTTTTTTTATGGGTAGCCATTTTTAATTTGTATTCGTTTCTATACGTTTCTCCCATCTTTCTTAGGTGTTTATAGCTATCTCTCTCTGTTAAGATTTAAAAAAATGGCGTCGGATTTTGTTTCTATCACACAAATTGTCTAAAGCTTTTACTTTTATTATGTTAATAAACTCATCTCGTTTTAACAATGGCGAAGGATGTGATTTATTTTATAAATATATAACTTCGTTCTTATTACACATGTGTAAAAATACCAACTAGATATCTACTTCTAAGGTTTTCGGTGTATACTCTTTTGTAGCTGGTTAAGTTGGCTGTGAACGCAATTGTCAAAAGCAAAAGATGAAGAAAAATTTCAGCAGAGCACTGCAAACGAAATAAGCAAGCTCAAGCTGCCATATTAAGGCAAGATTTTTGGAAAAGTGTGATTTAATATTAATTAAAAGAGTATTAGTTTGCAAGATGTTTTGTCGTTAGTGTAAACATTGCGTGTAATTTTAAAAAATGTGAGTATATTCTTCAGCAACAATAACAATCTTACCTGCATAAAAATGTGCTATTTCCGTGCAGTTAATAAGATTGATAGGTGTACACACATGTATATACACATTAATATGTTACATACTAAAATATAAAACTTTCGTGGTTTACTAAATTTAATTTGATTTGTGGCAGCGCTTTAAAATTGATAATTGATATTGGGGAAAACGTTGTTAGTGCGTATACATTTGCGCGAGTGACCCACTGCTAATATGAATAAAGTGCGAGCGATTGGAGCTAATGTCGATGTGATTTTATTTTACATACGTTTAATATTTTGCAGTTAATTGTTACGTTTATTTAGTTTAGACAAAACTAAATCCCAAGAAATTTCTGGCAAATTTCGTGCATTGAAAGCTAAAAATATTAAATTTTCTATGTTTGGATTAGATATGGCTATACGAAACCCTCCCACTATTTCTGTCCCATCTTGTTATTTCTAGAACGTGTAGATAAATTTAAATTATTTGTGTATTGGTTTATTAACCTATCATCAATATATTAGTAAACAATGCGTTAGTTTAATAATTATGTTACATCATCAATTTTTTTAAGCTAGATTGTCTTTTTTTTTTTTTTTAAATAGACAAAGTCTATTTCCTACGACGTAGAATTTCAGTGTTTTCATTCTTAGTTCACCCGCTCGTTTCGTTCGTTCATTTTACTCGTTATTGTACGCCATATTGAAATTTGCGACAGCTATATGTTCGCTCATTTGTGTATGAGCGAATAAACAATATACTACAAATCTTTTAATATGGCTGTGTTTTGACTATATTTGCTTTGCACACATTCGTATGACCAATTTGCCTTTGTTTTACTTTTCTTCGTCGTTTGAGCGTATTTGTATTGCATACCATATTCGCTTTCGGCCGTGTACCTCTTAAAGTTGGTTGTAGTTATTATTTAGAACTCGTATCTATATTTATCTCGTCTTTTAGCGAAATTTGTGTATTAGTGATCCTTGTCATCCATTTTAATATTTATTATTTTCCTTTATACATATTTTATTTTTCTGCCGTTTTCTTCTTCTGCTTGGTTCTTGATGGAGTATCGAAAGCAAAAGTTGAAAAACGAGTTCTGTATGCCATAGGTAGTATATTCGTAGAAAATATAATAAATAAATATTGCCAAATTTTAGCAATACATATACGCGCCAAAGAAATTTTGAAATAATTGCACATTTTTATTTATTGGGAATGGGTTAAAAAAATGCAATAAATTGATAAATGTAATATAGTATGTATATGTAAAAATTGTAAAAAAAAAAATACATATATTTATTATAAAAGTTTTATGGTATGTCAATTCGTTCTCGTTGTTCCTTAAACATTTTCAGTAAAACATAATTACATATGTATATGGGCCTAGTCGGAAAATCATTAATTGTTTTATTCCCTTTAACGAAATTAGCTACAGTGTAAACGTGGCATAACATTTACGTATTTGCAGAAAGGGAATTACATTTTGACTTTGTTTTCAATTAATTTTAACAATTGTTTTAGTTGAATTTTAGGTTATTCCTACATTACACATATTGCATTGTGGATTATTAATTGTCGCGACTGATTTAAACAATTTATTTTTCCATCAAATCATACATGTACATTTACATAAAAATGTATATAAAAAGGTGCTACAAGGCTGTCAAGAGGTTAAAGAAATAAAAGACCTACAAGAAAATGTAATTAACATAACAAATAACCAATCATATGTGCATATGTAGGGGTTATAGGTACGTTTTACATACGCCATACCAGCTTTATAGGAGGCGACTTTATGTACATTTAATATTCTAACATAGTTAACATATCATATGTGCTGTGCTGCGAATCATAGATATCTGTCACCCTATTTCCGGTCTAAATCGAGTAGCAACAAATCTAACTACATATGTATGTATGTAATGTATACTTATGCTGCATACTCACATCTAATTGAATAAACAATTGAGACGCAATTTTTAGTTTGAAATCACATTTTACTTCAAAGCTGAGTAGCAAATGCTCTGCAGTTTGTTATTTTTTCATTTACATATGTCTGTCTAAACTTTGAGCACCCTTTTTTACTCGTCAGTCATAAATCATTCGGATCTGCTTCGCATCAATTCAAATTATACACAACCTTTAGATTGGTATAAATAAATACGTGCATATATGGAAATCTGTGTACACATCTAAACTTCACAGTTTTCGATTTTACGGATAGTCAAATTCAAAAACTGAATTAAAATTAGAATAAATTATACACAGTCGTACATTATGGTTATTTGATGATTCTGAGGCAAGGTTATTTATATATAATACATTTTTGTGTTTTCATAGTAGCGTGGTGGTGGGCGCTTAATTACGATATTTGCTAATTTACATTCAGTTTTACTTAGTTATGCGCTATGTCTGGCTGCACACAAATAGCTGCAATACAACGAATGAATTCTAATATCTTTTAAGCACAGATCGTTTGTAAATATTTTGGAGATAACAAACGATTTTCACCATTAAAAAGGCAACACAAATTATTGGGCCTGCAGATAAAACCTAATTATGATTACTCATTTGGTATAAGCATGCTTTCTATAGGTGCTTCCTATGTTTTGCTCCTACATATTTTCGCACTAACAATGTTTAAACTATTTGTGTATATAAATAAACTTAGCGCCTTTGTACTCATAAAATAATTGGGAGCACATATTTCGAAGTTAACTAAGAATAGCATGGGAGAAGTACATGGCGTAATACAGGTTACACTAGATCAAGGTTAGTTGCAAACCTTGGTAAAATATATGCAAATAAATATGGGTGTATGTACGTACTTCGTTTAAATAACTTAAATATACCCAGTATATATCAATACTGCTAAATACATATTTTGTTTGCGCTGTATGAATAGTGCATCCAAAATTTTGAATTATTTTAAATTAGAAGCTGATAGAAGTATCTAATATATTACTTGATATTAAATACAACTTAATTTTAATGTTTCTGTTTGAAAACTGCAGTATGAAGTACGCATTTCCCCTTAAAAATAAGCATTTCTCACAAAACCCATTAAATTACACTAAAATTCATTAGAGGCAAGCCATTCGTTCTGTTATAGCTGTGTCTAATTTGATATTTTTAGGCATTGAAATTTGTCGTATCACTTTTTGTGTATTTATTTTTTTATATGCAACGCAAGTTTAAAAATAAACTTTTATTGCTGCGACAACAAAAAAAAATTACTTTCGCAACAATTGATTACACCAAGATGAAGAGAGGACACTATCAAGCAACGACATAAGAAAATTTTGTTTTTGCAAAAAGCAAAACTCGCTACAAGTATATTGGCGGTGAAACTAACGATCTACCGGCCATCATTGAAGAATATAATGTGTAATTGTAGTATGTGAATAGAATTGCACATAAATGAAAAAATAATCTGTGTGACTGCAAACATTTGACACAAGAAAGAGAAGAATGGGAAATAACAGCGTAAAGAAAAATGTCTGCATTTGATGCACACACATAAATATTCACAAGCATTTGAATGCAGTTCTGCTGGCTTTTAGTCATTGGCAACTATGCGCTAACATACGGCGGAGGTGAATGGTGTTGAGGGAGTGGGCCAAAGAGGTGAACGAACAACATTGCATCGATGGATCGAAATGAGAAGACGGCAGCCTCTATGACGATGTTGTGCTGCAATCGCTTGCACTTTGCTATTCGCAAAGTAAACAAAATACGAGAATAGCATTGTTGGCAAGTGCGACAAACTGACTGGGCCTGTGGCTGGGCAAACTAGCTAGCAAGTTGTGAAGGCTAGCTCGCTGTTTGTATTGCTTATTTGTTGTTTAGTTGTTGATTGCCTTTAGAAAAAAATATCTTATGTATTATTTTGCACATCTTCTTTTTGATCTTGGTTGCTAATCAATTTTGTAGACTTCGCTTTACATATAACTTGTTTATTTTTCTTCGCTTTTACTCTACGGACGCACTTACATATGTGTATGTACGCTTGAATAGGGCTAAACAGATGATAAAAGGGTTTGAACGTTCGTTCTGACATACAAGATATATTTTTAATATTCAATATTTTGGTATGTAACGTTTCCCTTTTTGCAGCCATAGTTGTCTTGGAATTTTTGTTGATATTGCTGGGGCATGCGCCAACACTCTACCCATTAGAATATTTTCTTGCGAAGGCTTGTCTTATCGAGCGCATATGAGGTGAAAAGGTGTGTTCTTACGTTTATATACCATACAAAAAAATCAGAAATTAAATAAAGTAAAAAAGAAGGGCTGAATATATTTATTTTATATGGCTTTATAGATATTTTGCAGCATCATACAATATGTTTTTAGTGCGTTTTTATTTGAACTACCTTTTATGTATATTCTTATGTAGGTATTACCAACAAACCAGTTATACATAGTATATTGATTATATGGTAGATGGTTTTTTTTTTTTCGAATAATATCTCAAAAATGTATCTAAATGTACACCTGTTTTATGAACGCCAGATTTAAAAACTTTAACGCGCTCCCCCCACAACTCACGGTTTTAAACTCGGTGTTCTTCACAACTACTGCACCGATCGTTTTGAACACTATTTCTATACATAATTTAAGAAGTAACGTTTTTTTTTTTTTTTTTTGTTTGCAAATTTGTTACTATTTTTAATATCACACATATTGGTTAAATATTCTCATTCGTCCATTTTTTTTTTAATTTTACCAATAGATTAGCTTCTTAAAGCTCAATATATGTGCATAGGTGCGTACATTCTTCCCCTCCCAAAAAATTCTTCTATTTGCTTTGCTTGCCAGTGAATGGTGCAATTCGGTTAGTTGTCTATCCGTCTAAAGGTGTTATGTAACAGGCGCACAAGTTGTGATAAATATCTGTTTATAAGTGCATAAAAGGTGCAGCTAAATGAGGTATACAACGCAATAAACCTTAATAAGCGCTCAATAATATCAAGTTTTTTATACGTATTATAATTCTGTATTTTACTCTTCCACCAAACATTTATACCTGAAATCTTATCATATTTGCTTACTTTATGTTATATTTACTATGTTTGCAATTCCTTTGGTTATATTTTCTCATTTATCTTTATACCAATTGCGGTGCACACTATCTGCCTCATTCTCAACTATACGTTTTCCAGCGCCACATCGCTATCGCAGCCATATCTTAATGGAATCAATAAAATTGTGTGTATTTTGTTTTGCTTGTTACTTCTTTACTTGCAGTGTTTTCACCCAATATTCGTGGCATTTCACTGTTGTTTTTTACGCTTTCTTGACACTTGGCTTTCTGCGTTATTTATTATTATTGTCTACTATGTTTCGGCCAATTTATTTTGTTGCTTTTAGCTACCATTTCGTTTCTACTATATCAAAATCTCATGCATATATACCAACCCTACCTACTTGTATATGTAGTTACATTTGTACATATTTGAGTTGGTACAAATCTTCTTTCTATCTACATTTCTAGTTTTTTAGTGAAGTTCCTTCGTTTACATATAATATTTTATGTAGGTTTTTTCAAAAAAAAAAAAAAATTAAAATAAATATGTAGACAGTTTAGTTTTAGTTTCTAGTGGGTTCCCTTCATTCTCAACGTTGTTTTATCATGCCAATAATGTTGCCCTCTCAACTCCTTATCGTTTCGTTTATTGTGTATACCATATTTTTAACGTTAACGTGCGTGGTGGCGTATCTTTTTAATTAAAAAATAAAAATAAAAATATCTCGTATTATTCAAATTTTTGAATTTATTGTAAATGGTAATAGTAGTAATTTGTTCTTCATATTCTTTCTTTACAGTTTATCTGCAACATAATAAACATACAACGAGCAAAACCGAAACTATTCCTAAAACGATATAAGTGAACTAACTTTACTAGTCTAGAAGGCAAATTAAGTGAACTGCATAGTTTGGTACTGAAAATAACGACAGTGGAATCGCCAAAATTAAAACGACGCTTCAACCGCAAACCAAGGAAGCGTAAACGGAATCAAATTTCTTTACGCGAACGCAAACACAACATAAATAACGCAGGTTACGTTCGAAAGGAATTGGCTGTGTGACGTTTTCTATTTAAATACAAAATTCCATGGAAAATTAAAATCACTCGCGACAAATCGAAATTTACTAAAATCTAGTAACAATTGTCGCATTTACTTGGTAGTTACATACCTAAATTGATTATTAAATAATTTGCAGTGTTAGAGCAGAACGCTAGGTGTAAAAGTGCACTGTGTATTTAATTGAGCGCAATCAGCAGTTTAGTGATGTCCCCTGATGTAATGGCTTACAATGTAATGTGCAGAAAAATTAGATATTCCCGCAAATACGAAGTCAAAAACGTTTGTCTAACCACAACAACCGTATCAGCACATCTAGCAGCAGCAGCAGCAGCAAAAAAAGCTATTTCACACACCTTCTATAAAGCTTTTCAACTAATTGCAACAAAAACCAGTCATTACAAGGATTACATCAATAGTAAACACCTAACACTTTGTTGCGCATTAAGCCCCCATGTGGGTGGGGGACCGCCTCCAACAGAAGCGATAGGATTAGCGGCTAACTTAAATAATGATAATAGTTAAGTGAGCGAATTTCGAAAGCGCAGAAGTCTAAATTCGAATACATGCTCCATTAGCATAATCAATTATTTTGAAGAAGGATTTAAGGTGTTTTTAACACAAACAAAGATCGTTTACAATATATATTATTGCCTTGAGTTGCGCATTAAAAATAAACATTACTCTTCTTTTGATAATATTTTTTTTCGAAGTTTCAAATATTTGTTGCAAGTTCTGATGACAGAAGCCCTTTTAAAACCAAAATAATAGTTGTTAAATTGCTTAGCGAATGATGCCATTGCAATCGTCTGGTATAATTGTCGTAGAGAAGCCAACAACAGCAGTGACAACACAATCAGGCAGTGGAGCAACAAGCGGCGGGGTAGCGGCGACAACAAATTTAGCGACGCAACAGTCGCAGCCACAATTTCATCAAACAAAACAGACTACTACAACAGCAAAGGCAGCAACAACAACCATTGGAAAATATTTCGAATATTATGGTGCGAATGATGTGCGACAGGCGCAACAACAACAACAGCAGCAGCAACAGAAACAGCTACAACAACTCAATGTTGCAGGCAGCAACAGCAACAGTAGTAGTAGAAGCCAAACACAGTTGCCATTGATGCGACGTGCAGTGCAGCGCAATAGCAGCAACAGCAATCATACTATTAATAAAGGTAACAACAATACTATAACGACAACAGCAACAGCGGGAGGAGCAACGAATACGAAAATCAAACAAATTATTGTAAAGCAGCAGCTACAGCAGCAGCAGCAGCAACAATCGCAATCAATACAGATGAATCAACAACAACACCAACTTGTACAGCATACCACAATCCAGCAGCAGCAGCAGCAACAACAAATCCATCAACAGCAGTCACAACAGCTGACCACACAGCTGCAGTCTAGCCAGCCTAAGCAGCAACAGCAACATGTGCAAAAGCAGCATCAGCTGTCACAACAAATGCATACACAACAGCAAAAATCACAGCAGCAAACGCAACCACAGCAGCAGCAGCAGGTGATACAAGTAAGCGAAGAGTTTATTGAACAAGCGGCTGCTTCGGGCGCCACCAACATGATGATATCCTCAACAACCGGTGAGGTGCTAAACCCACAAATCTTCAAAATCCTTACCACAGACGGCACCACCGGCAACATGATAATTGATGGAAGCAGCGCATCAGCCGTCGGTGGCGGTCAACCGAAAGTATTGCTTAGCAATTTAACCGTGTTGGCCAAGCCGACAACCAACACACCGGGCACAACGGCAACCTCGGCGGTGAGTGTTGGAGCAGCTGGTAGCTTACCCACGCAACAACAACAACAACAGACTATAAGTGTCAGTAGCGGCGGTCAAGCACAACAGGCACAAACCATAAATTATATGAGCAATAAAAACTTATCATATTTGACCACAGCAGCAGCTGCGGCTACACCTATTACCACAGGCGGTGGTAAGACACAAAAATATACCGTTACAGGCACATATAAGACAGGTGTAAAGCAACAGCCGCAACAGTTGACCTCCACAACATATATACAACAGCCACAGCAGTCGACGGGCCAAAACGCTGCACAGGGTGCGCAGCAGACGCAGCAATTGTATCAAAAGCTGTCTGTGCCGCGTCACGTACAGATGGTGACACGTGTTGTGCAACAGCCAACGGCGGCTGGTACGTCGATGACAACAAACACAGGCCAACAACAACAATCACAGCAGCAGATGTTGGTGCAACCCGTTGTGGGTGGACAAAAGTATTTAAGCAGTAGTGCAACAACGAAAAGTGTCAGCGTTGCCGGCAGCGGTGGCAACATGTTGAAGAAGACGAATAGTTTGAAGGTGGCGCATGGTAATAGCAAAATTTTGAACAGTCTGCAAATGCAGCAGACACCGGGTGTCAAGACTACCTATATAACACAGCAGCAGCAGCAGCAACAACAACAGTACCAATTGCACCAGCCGCAATACCAAAGTGGCGCTAAAGTGAAAACGTCCAAGTTGCTCAAACAATACAACAATGTCATAAACAATAACAGCAGTGCCAGTAGCGGCGTTAATATGTTGCAGCAGCAATCATTGGGCACATACACCATAAGCAACAGCGGTGGCGGCCACAAATTGCAACCGACCACAACAAAAGTGACTAAAATGACCGGCGGCAAATATGCTGCGCACCAAACGCAGCTGCAACATGTCACAACTTTGCCACAAGGCACACACCTGCATCACAAAACCTTGCCACAACAACAGCAGCAGCATCAATTCTCGACCGGTAACAATAATGTGGTTACACTCGCAACGGGCGCCGGAAATAGCGGCACTGGAAATGTTGCTAGCAACACTGGTAATACAATAAAATTTGTAAATTCCACACATGCCACCGTCATACAGCAGCATCAGACGCAAACATTGCCCATGCAGCAGCAACAGACTAAAGTGACACTGCGTCAGCATGCGCAACAACAGCAATTGCAATTTGTTGATGCACCAACAACAACAAATATTGTTAAGGACAACAACGCCAGCAGCAATACTATTTACCAGCAGCAACAGCAAGCTGGCAATAATAACAGCAATAACAGTGCACAATCGTTGTTAAACGATGATATAATGTTCGTCAATGGCACACCAATGACAGACGAGGTGTCCGCACGCATACTGCAAAGCATGGCACAAAAATCATTCAGCAATCAGCAACGCTATCAGCAGCAGCAACATCAAACAAAGGTCGTCGCCATGCCACCACCGCCGCAACAGCAGCAGCAACAACAACAACAACAAATTGTGATACAACATACTTCCCCAACATCAGTGTTGCTTTCGCCCAAAGAATACCCGCTATATAGCGGTAACCAATTGTCCGCGCAACAGCAAAACCAACACGGCAATGCAGCGCAGCAACAACAATTGGCAGCATCACCAAACATTAGCACACAATACACAAATGCAGTGCATCAAACGCCTGTCTCAGCAGCCACCGCTTACTTGCCAGTCTCAAACGCCAATGGTGGCGCCGTTTATGCAACAATCCCCACATCAGTCGCCGCCAATATCGGACGTCAAGCGCATAGCGCACCCAGCAGTCGTACACACTCTTTGGAGCGCAACAAGTCATATGAGGCCAGCACAACAATCACACGCAAATCCGTCACCGATTACTACAAATCAAATAGCAATAGTAGCAGCGGAAGCGGCGCACGTAGTCATCATCACGCTGGCACACATGGTACACATGCGCTATCGGCCAGCACATCGAATATACCGCTTGATACACAGCAACAACAGCAACACTCATCAGCGCAGATAATACATTTGCAAACGTTGAAAACATCGCTAGCGGGCACCAATGCAACACTGGCGAATAGTAGCTACACAATTGCCACAAATAGTGCAGCCTCCGCTGTCAACACCAATGCAATACCTGATGACGAAGATATCATCGGGGAAGAGGTGCGTCCGACACCGGTGAATACGCAAGATTTGCGTTTGCGCATCTTGCACGCCGTGCAACAGGATCACACCTACGCCAATGCCATGCCCACGCATCTCTCGAGTGCAGAGTCCGCAAAGAGCGGTGTTGGCGTGCAAGCTGTTAGCAGCGGTACACACATGCAAATGGGCAAAGCAGCCGCCACAGCGAATAGTACAATGTTAGCAGGTGCTTCGGTGCAGTCGCATCTACAATCGGCACTGGCGGCCAATTCGTCTGGCGGCAGTCAGCACTGGTCACTGGGCGGCATTGGTGCTACTGTGGCGGCGGCGGGACAAACAGGCCTGGGCAATATGTTGCCCACGCCGCCATCAAGCGGTCAATCGACATATACTTTGCACGGACAACAAAGTGAGTAGCCAGTGGACTTGACTAAACCTATTATTATTAGTTGTAAATTATTTTCTTAAAGACTTTTGCTTCAATTTATTTTACATTGACGATTAAAATTGATTACCATATTCTCTTTACCTCGCAGTACCCCGCATGCAACAGGATGACGATGCACATTCGGCTATCAGTAATGGTTCGCGCGTTGCTATCGGTGATATTGATCCTGGTGAAGAGACCGAAACTGCACCCGAAGCCGAAGCTGAAGATGATTCGGTGACGCGTTGTATCTGTGATTTGACGCATGACGATGGCTATATGATATGTTGTGATAAATGCTCGTAAGTACAGTAAAATATTGTGTTATTTATTTAAAACAGTAATTTCAAATTAATTTTTTTTTTTAATTTTAAACAAAATGAAAACCCTTATATTAAATACATTATTTTTCTTTTATACTATTTTTTTTGTAAATATTAAAGTTTGTATAAATTCGTTTACAAATTTTAGAGATATTTTTTGTATTAATGTATTAAAAATTTTTTAAGCTAAAGTTTTTAAGTAAATTTTTTAAATACATATAAATACATATATTTTTCTTTCCAAATAAATTTTTTTTTTTTTTTTATTAATTTTCCAATATTTTTGAAAATTTTATGTTTTTATTGTTTATTTTTATATCTCAAAATTTGCATACCATTTAATAAAATACAGTTTTTTTTTGTTTTTAAGAATTTTTAAATATTTGATTCTTAATGAATAATTTTTAATATTTTTAATTTTTATAAAATTTAATAAAACTTAGATTCTTTTGTAGGTTAGAATTAAAAAATTTGTGTCATTTTTTTCTTATTTTATAATTTTCAAAATTAAATTTGAATTTTTTCTATTAAATTTATTTTTTAAATATAATGTTAGTTTTTATATATAAATTTATTTTTATTAATGCCTCTTAATTTTTATACCATTTAATAAAATTTTGATTTACAAAATCATTTTCTATTAGTTTATATTATAAAAAAAATACTAAAATAAATATTTGACAATTTCAGCGTTTGGCAGCATGTCGACTGTATGGGCATCGATCGTCAGAATATACCCGATGAATACCAGTGTGAAGTCTGTCAGCCACGACCGGTGGATAAAGCGCGAGCACGAGCGCTGCAACTAATGAAACGCAAAGAGCAAACTCAGCTTTTACTTTCGGCACAGTCAGCACATGCAACCGGTTCTACTGGCGCGTACTTAGGTGCCGCAAGCGGAGCTGGCAATCTGAGTGGCAATTATCAGTTGCCAGATGGACAACAACGGCATCTAGGTGGCAGCAACTCAAATGTATTAATGTTGGGTAGCGGAGCTGATGGCAACATGCATGGTCTCCCAAATAACATAACGCTCGGCACAACCAAGAAGGGTAAGGTTTTGAAGAAAACCGCCAAAGACGCGGCTAGTGGTAAAAAATCCAAGAAAGCCGAAAAACTAGCCGCTTTAGGTGGCAAACCGCCGCGTAAGGACTCAGGCGCCACCAAGAAGACAACGAAACGCAAGTCGAAGAGCGGCGATGGACTGAGCGCCAGTGCAACAGCTGCTGAAAAACATGCAGCCAATTTGCGGCAATGGATTGAGAATTACGAATTGGCCGTAACCAATCACTATTCGCCCGAATTGCGTGCGCGCCTACATGCCATTACCAAGCAACCGAGTCTGCTGCAAAGCATACTAAATACGGAGAATCGCGCACTGAAGGAATGCTGCAACAATGGTTTGGAGAATCGTGCCACTACTGTGCCACATGCGGGCGGTAAAATACTTATTAGCAACATGGATATTGCGCCGAGTTGCCCCATCTTCGAATTGCGCGGCAAATACATGCTTAGTCCGCAGTATAAAACACAAAATGCGTCGGTGAATATGAATTCGCCGCCACCCAGTAATTTTCTAGCAGCTACGCTGAAAGCGCATAAAACACCGGGACCATTCATTTTCTTCTATCAGTTACCGGACGCAGAGGCGCCCATGCAAACTATGAATCAAGATGGCTCCTATCCGCCGCTGCCGCCACAACCGGCTTATCTCAAGGGTCCGGAGATATGCGTTGATACACGTACCTACGGCAATGAAGCGCGTTTCGTGCGTCGCTCCTGTCGACCGAATGCCGAAATACAGCATCTTTTCGAGAAGGGCACCATACACCTGTTCATTGTGGCAACAACGCGCATACGCGCCAGCACCGAGATCACTATCAAGCATGAGCCACACGACTTACTTGCGATTGAGAACAAAAAGGCGACCGCCAGCAATTGCATAGTGCAGCCAACGAGCACAGCATGTGCCTGCGGTCTACTCAAGGATTGCCTCTTCGGGCCACCGCCGACGCAACAGTCTTTGGGCGCAGGCGGCGCAACGAAAACCAGCAGTCGCAAGTCAACGCTTTCCACCACCTTAAATGGAGGCGTACAGCTCAACAGCAGCGCGGCGGCCATGCAATTAACCATGGGTGGGTTGCCAGCCGGCAGCAATAAGAAGAAAGGCACCGCGCAAAACCTCAATCGCAATCGCTCGACATCGTCCAGTGGTGATAGCAGCATCGGCGCAACCGTAGCGCCTGGCATGAATAGTCCGAGCGTTGCTTTGCCCACAGCGCCGCTGAATATGAACGTTAACCTGACCTGCAATAGCTCGTACAAAAGTAATGGTGGTCTCAACATTTTGTCGACGCATGCGCTAGCCGCGTCTGCCGCGGTGCCCAATAGCAATGGCAACATGAGCGCCACCTCCTCTGTTTCTAGCGTAATGCATGACTCGGGCATTTGTACCTCGTCATCGTCGCCATCCGTGTCGATACCATCACCCACAACCATACACATGCACTCACCTACGCCACAGGCGCAGTCGCAACCACAACAGCAAGCGCAGCAGACGCAACCAGTACCAACCGTAGCGAGCGTACAACGCGGTAGCAGCGGCGCGCTTTTCGTGCAACACAGTCCACAGCAACAGCAACAACACCAACAGATTTTAGGCGCTTTGCCAACGCCGTTGCTTTTGTCGCCGTCACAGCAATTGGTGCAACTGCCAACGCAACCGCAACAACTACAACTACCAGCAATAACTAGCAACGCAAGCGGCGCATCATTGCTGCAAGAGGTGAACAGCACTGAAACAATGACGCCTGCTGCATTGGCCACAGCGAGTGACCCAACGCAGCCGCAAACGAATTTACTCATTCAACAGACGCAAGAGCAACAATTGCACCACAGCGAACTCGCTGGTCCGACCATAAGTGATGCCTCATTGGCTGCGGCGGCAGCGCTGCAATCGCTTAACACTGCTGTAACGCTAACCAGCAGTTGTGCAACGTTAGCGCCAAGCGCTGTAATAAGCAATAATAATAGTGTTGTTGTTGTCACCCCTGAAATTAGAACGCCTGGCGAAGTTGAAGCGAATGAGACCGAAAAGCAGCAGCAACAGACACAATACTTTGTGGCTACGCCCACGCCGCCAGCTCAGCAAGATTTCGTAGATGGCAGCATGCAAGCGACAGCACATCAGCAGCAGCAACATCAACAACAACAACAACAACAACCGCCACAAACGTTAACCACAGTGGATCTACCACCACCGACACAGAGCCACGCTTCAATTGGCGCCGCTTCGCCCAACGCTGCCCCGAAATCACCACAGAAGCACAGCAACAATACAGCGCACGCCGCGTATGTACCACCGAATAGCGCGCGTAGCCACAAAACGCCTGCCGCTAAGTCATCGAGCTCACGTTCCACCAGTTTCTCGGAGGACGATCACCAACAGCAACAACACAACACAAGCAGCGGTAGCGTCAATGATGACACATCGGTGGTGACACCAAATTCAAAAGATAAGCCAAAGCTTTCACGCGAAGATCGTAAAATGGAAGCCATACTGCGCGCGATTGAGAAAATGGAACGCAATCAGCAACGAAAAAATCAAACCAAATCTGGTGGCAGCGCGTCCGCCGGCGCCACCAAAAGACGCAATAGCAACAGTAATTCGCCAACCACGCCCACCAAACGTATTATGGGCGATTTGAGCAGCAGTAGCGGACGCGTATCGGTGGCTAATGCGCGCAAGAAAAAACGCAAAGCGCACAAATCGTACAGTGGTCATAGCGCACAGGCGCGCAAGCGTCGCAAAAGTCGCATGAACAGCAGCAATGAATCCGTAGATGGCGCAGTCAACAGCGCTGGCAACGTCAATGTACATTCGGAGGCAGAATCAACATCGCTGCTATCGCCCGCAGCGCCACTAGCAACTACAGCACCCAATTATCAGCATACGCATGCGGAGCAGAGCGATACTGCCGCGACCACTAATGAAGATCAGGCAGCTGGTCTGCTACTCGCTTTTGCAAATCCCAATCTGAAAATGTCGCCGACGCCACAACAATCACCGCAAACAGTGGCATCACCAACAGCACAACAGCAGCAGTACGCGGCACACTACGCGCTGGATCAATTGAAATCACCTCAACACCGAACGGCAACCAGCGGTGGTAATGGCGCCTCACCGCCCGCCACGCCAGTCAGTTCCGCCTGCCTGCTAATCGAAGCGGCAGTTGGACCGCTGCAAGAGCACATGGACGGCGCTAGCCCAAGTGGTGAGTTCAAATACCCCAATAAAACCAAAACGAAGAAAGTGCTCATGTCCAATTGGCTGCTAAATCAAGTAGATGCCGACACCAGTGGCAGTGACTCACCACCGCCGAGTACGCCAACACCACCACCAACAACGAATAGTAGTGGCGCTGATGCGTTAGTGCCACAACCAACACCCTTGCCCACTGGCGCAATGCTCGGCTTAGACTCATTGGTACAAGCGGCTACAATGTGTGATTATAGGAAACACAACGAGGCGGATGCCAGCTATATGCCCAACGATACACACTGTGGCGCGCCCATGAGCGTCGATGAACCAGAAAATCTTAGCATGGCAGCGCAGAAAGTCGAAGAATTCATACAGCAAACAGAGCGCGGTAACAGCGGCGTCTACAATCCGGCCGCAATTGCTGGTGCTAGCGGTACGCCACGCAGTCTACTTCATTTGCCGCTTCAGGTGAGCACTTGCAGCAACAATTCCTCTGTCAAGAAACGTTGGTTACGCCAAGCGATTAGCGAAGAAACCACCACAGATGAATCGATGACGCCAACACCTACAACAGCAGCCATGTCTGCGTGCTTGCAACATGCCTCACCCACAACCGCGGCGGCGGCCGCGCACTTGAACGCTGTGCTGAATGTGCCCAATGGCTTTACAACGCCGCTGAAGAAGCGTCGACTTATTATCAGTGGCGACGTGAAGGAGGAAGAGGATGTGGGCGGCAGCAGTGTAGCTTCACCCGCAGCTGGTGTTAACAACGTCTTCGAGTCGCCAGTAATTGGACTAGTCAAGACAGAAGCAACAGCAGCGGCACCTAACGCCGAACATGGCATGACAGCCAAAAATATGCTGGCAACGGCGGCAGGTAGGCTTGCCGAGGTGGATGTGATGAATGTGAACGCTGGCGAGATGTCAAGAGCATGTATAAAGAATGAGGCAGAGACGAGTGATGAGGAGGAAGTGGATGAAGAGGAGGATGATGCGGAGGAGGAGCGCGATGATGTGGATGTCGTAGGTGGCGTTGGCCTACATGAGCTGCAAACAAGTGCAACGACAACAACAATATCACATATAACAGATAAATGTTTTAAGCAGGAAACTACAAAGGAAGAGCACTTGCTGGAAGCGCCGCAACAGCTGAAGACGACAGCGGATGAGCTGAAGCCCGACGCTATGCTTATGGATCAGGATGACGATGTGGATATCTTGCGTTCGCCTAGTCCAGGGCATCAGCAAATGCTCGCCGCCGAAGATAATCTGGTCAAAATTGAACCGGAGGACACAAGTGGCGGCGATGACGTTAAAATCGATGTGGAGCGCGAAGAAAGCATGGCGGGTGATAAGTTCGAGGAGATGGTATTAATGCAAGTGAAGAAAGAAGAAGCTGCAAATGAAATTGCTGAACGCTTAGTTGCGACGGATGCAGCCGACGGCGCTAAACTCAATGTCGCGGAGGTTGAAAAGTCCATAAAATCCGCTCCAACTGAAGAAAATGCTATTGCAGCGGATGAAAAACCCTACAAGCAGTTGTTTGAAGCTGCTGGAAAGGTGGAGCAACCAAAAAAGGAAGAGCAAACACAAACGTTTTCAGCAAGTAAACCTAAGTTGGAATCTCCGCAAGCTTCCGTGTCTACATACAACACTGCGGTGACGCCCGTCAAAGCTCAGGAGCGCATATCCAACACACCAACCAAAGCATCGCCATTAAAATTGCTCACACTCGATGGCAGCAGCATAATGTCGTCTGATGAGCCGCTCAAGAAGCGTTTTAAACTAGAGACTTCAACAGCAGAGACTTCAGCTTCAACGACGGAAGTGCAACAAACTTCGTTGCTAAAACCGTTATCTGCGCGCATGGCCGAAATGTCAAAACCAAGTGACAATACTGATATTGTGCCAACAACATCAGCTACAACTGCTGCACCCGCCACATTACCCAAACCCACAGCGACGCTTAAAGTTGAGAATTGCGCGAACAACACGTCTGCAATCGCGGCCACACAACTAAACTGTATGACCTTTTTAGCTGCAGCCGCAGCAGCCGCTATTGAACGCAAGCCACCACCACCACCGCCGATTCCAACGGCAACTGCAGCAGCACAGGCGCCAATTACTACACAGTCTACAACAATAACCGCCACAGCGGCTGTCAACGCAACGAACTCGGAAGCTGGTACTGTTAATGTGAATAATGTGGCAACGCCATTGCCTAATAGCGGTAGCGTTTCCACAGCGCTCGCGCCACGCAAACAGAATGCCGCTAACAACAACAACAGCAATGAACGCAAAGTACCGCTGACCGATGATGACATACAAGCCTGTCTGCATTCCTTCCACAAGGAGAATATACTTATCTTACAGTCACGCAACAACAAAAAGTCAAAACCAAATGCCACCACAGCAACAGCAATTGGCGGTAGCGCCAACGAGTTGGTGGGCAAAAGTGCCAAGTTAACGGAAAACAAATCCTCATCCACCACAAATTTTTCGTCGCATCACAGTCATCATCATGCGCATAACGACACCGTGAAAAGTGTTGGAAGTAGCAGCAAACACAGTAGCGCTTCCAAGTCGTTAACCAATTCGAGCAGCAGTAGCTCGTCTTCGACTAAAAAATTGCACAAGAAGGAGCGCAATAGCAAGGAATATAGCAGCAGTAGCAGTCGTTCCTCTTCGGCGCACAGTGGCAAGTTGTCCAGTTCCAGTTCGAAAAAGGCGTCTTCATCATCACACAAAAAGGATTATGTCAGCGGTAAAAGTAGCGGCAGCTCCATACCGTTGCCGAGCGCCAAACAACAAACACATAGTAGTGCATCGAGCTACAACAGCTCGAATAATAGCAACAGTGCGTCTGTTGGCGGTGATGGCAAAGATCGCGCCGATGAACGCCGCGAACGCGACAATAATCGTGAGCAGCGCGGCTTCGATAAAGAGCGTCATCATCGTCATCGCACCACATCGTCATCATCGAATGCCAACAATGCAGTGCCTCAAACTCAAACACCCGCAGCTGCCAATTCAACAACACCTACGCCGCCACCGCCGCCTATCAGCAAGAAGCGTCAGCTGAACTTTGAGCAGGAACTCACGAAAGATTTGCCATTGGTGAATGCCGTCACCAGCAACAGCAGTCGGCATCGCAAAGACAGCGGCAGCCGCGACAGTCGCGACGATATGTTGAGCTCATCCTGCTCAAGTAGCAGCAACAGCAGTCTGGCGGCGCGTAAGCGACGCGAGTCTTCCTCCTCTTCGGGTGGCGGTAGTCGGCATCGGCATAACAGTGGTAGCAGTTGTGGCGGTGCGGAGAAAGACACTTTAGCCGCACACAAATCTGCGGTCGCTGAACATAACGGTATATTAGCTGGCGCACACGTGTCGCCGCTTCCGCCACCCACCTATGTGCGTGAACATGTCGCCATACCGCACTTCAATAATGTCGTCGTCAGCGGTCCACCACCACCGCTCATGGCCGCTTACTTCAGTGGCATTGGCGCGGTGCCTGGCAGCAATGTGGATGCCTCCATGGGTACACCCATCGCCACCTATGTGCCAACGCCAGCTATGCCGCCCGCTACAGGCGCAGCGCCGCAACCAACGCACAATCATAGTCTCTTAAAGACACTTCCCATGCAGCCAGTGCTTAGCCATTTGAGTGCAGCAGTGCATATGCAGCCAGCACTGCCAACGTTGTCTTCGTCCAACGGTTGCAATATAGCGGTGTTGCCGCCATCCTCGGCTACAGTGGCGCCACCCGCATTACACTCTCCCGGCGCCTCTGGTGGCTTGCTACCTTGTAACAGCGGCGGCGTCAATTCTGCAACGTCGACCTATAACAGTATTTATGGTAAATTGCGTGATAATCCATCCGCCATAGTGCCCCCGACACTGGGCGCTGTAACATCCGCGTTAGCAGGTCCGCCAGTAACACCGAGCGTTGGCGTTGGCAAAACAGCCGTAACCGCAGCAGTAGGTGTTTCAGCGAACATCAGCCTATCTGAGTATTTGGACACCAAAGTGAAGAGCTACAGTACCACGTTGGGCGGCTATGCAACACCAGCACATACCTATGTTGGTGGCAGTGGGGTTGCCAGCGCGTCCAGCAAAGCAACCAACAACAACATATCAAGCAATAGTGTGACTACTGCTGAAAGTATATCTGCTGTGGCTACACCACTAGAGTCTCCAGTTGCTAGCAAATTGCCAACCCCATTAAAATTGCCGCTTACAAGAACCGCTAGTCACGATCCGCGTCTCAATCCGCAGCTAAATGCACCCGAACCGCCGCCGGCGCCGAAACGTAAACTCTCCATCAATGAGTATCGTAAGCGTATGCAATTATCAACGGACAGTACAACGCCGTCAACACCCGAACCACCGGCGGCGAGTAGCACGGCCACGACGCCCACGGCACACATGACGCCCACTTCGTTGAACAACAGCTTCGTGCAAGCTTACAATAGTATTGTGAATGCTTCGCCCGAGGAGATGGCGCGACAGTTGTCAGCATCGCCAACAACACTAACGCTCAACAAGTACACGCTCAATTCGCCGGAGCGCAAGCGTCGGCATAGCGGCTCCGACAAAGAGCAGCCACATCTGCGTCATAGCGCGTCTTATGATGAGGTGTCGGGACTGTTGAACAGTAGCACCGGCAGCAGCAGCAGTTGTGGCAATGCGAGTGACACCTCGTTGACGAATTTGAACCACGAAGACGATGGCAGAAAAGGTAAGTGGAGAATTATTGTAAATAATGAAAAATAGAAAAAAAACGAAAATAAAAAAACTATAAACAAAATAAAAAAGTTATAGAAAATAAAAATAAAATTATAGAAAAAAAATGTAATCTATGAAAAAAAATAAACAATTAAAAATTAAACGATTAAATATATAAAAAAATATTAAAAAATATAATAATTTGAAAATATAATAAAGCTTAAAGTATAAAAAATTGATATAATTAATATTAATATTACAAAATAAAAAAAAATAGGAAAAAAAATTTCATATAAAAAAAGTATTAGAAAATAAACAAAAACATAATAGAAAATTGAATAAAACATAAAAGAATAAAAATTAGGGAATAAATTAAAATTTAAATAAAATAAAGTATAAGAACTAATAAACAATAATAAAAAATTTTAAAAAACAAATAAAATTGAATTCAAAAAATAAATAAAGTTAAATGTAAATAAAAGATATTACTAACAAAATAATAGATAAAAAACATAAAGTAAAATAAATAAATAAATAAAAAAAAAAAAAAAAAAATTAAAAATAAATTAAATAATGTAAAAATAATAGAACAAAGTAATAGAAAATTTAAAAAATAATAAGAAAAAAAGTTATTAATAAATAAGCAATAAACAATAAAACATAAGAAAAGTCGAGTTTCGAAAGAAGTAAAATTTAAGTATAAAAACTATTCATCAAATTTTTGTAATATACGTTGTATATTTACAGTATTTATCGTAAAAAAGAGAAAGTTATAGCATACAATTTTTTTTTCTTTGCTAGGACAATTTAGCGCAGCACCAACATTACTTGAGAAACAGCAAGAGAAGCTTTGCGAACGTTTAAAATTATTGCGCAATATGAAAAAGAGTGTGGCAACGCTAAGCAGCGCCGCAAGTGAGTTTGCTAACCTCAAAAAAGGTGAGTGAACATTTCCAAACCATTCTATTTTCATACATTGCAAAATTAATATGCATACAATTGATATTACCGACATTATATAACTAGTATAAATAAACCAAAACATAAATCAAAAAGTGCTTTCCGCTCATTTTACACAATAACGGGTTTTTTTTACACTATAAAAATTACTCACCTCATTCCAACAACCGTTACAGACTGTGATCTCTATGTGAATCGTACGAACAGCATCTCGTCCACGGACAATTTGGACAATTGTCTAGAGGAAATCTCCTCTTCCTCCTCCTCGTCATCGTCCACATCGCGCGCCTCTTCGCGTGAAGCAAGTCCCGAACGTAGTGGTGTTGTCAGTAGCAGCAGCAGCAGTGCAAGCGTCTGTAAACGTGCCACCAGCACTACTAGCTCCAATCATAAGTGGCTGCATGAGACGGAAACAACAACAACAGCGGCAAAAAATATAAACGCCAATGCATCGCGTGGTGACACACCGACACGCGATGATGTGTTGGTAGCGGCGAGATGTGGCAGTGAGTCGGCGACGTGAGGAAGCCAAGGCGTTACAGGCATAAACGACGACATGTACGATGTTAATGTGGTGAAAAAGTATGTCGCGGCGGCAGCAGCTAGTGTGTTGCAGTAAGGCACAGTACAGCGTAGACGTGTTGGTAAGGTTGCTAATAAGTCAAGCAAGAACGACAACTACAGTTCTTCTGCTAAATTAGAAGTACCGAAGGCGCATGAGCAACCAAATGCAATATTCAATTGATTTCGCTTCAATGCATAACGGTTCTGTTTTTCCTAGCCTTCAACTTTTCTGTGAATATTGTGAATTGTTTTTGTAAAATTCGTTTGCTGTTGCATTTTTCATAAATGCATACACACATGTACATATTATATATATGTATATATATATGTATGTATATGTATATATTATATACTGGCTTATTGCACAGACAAAATTGAAAGAGTACCAAAACAAAAAAAAAAAAAACAAAGTAAAACAAGTAAACTTAACGAATCGAAAAGCAATAATAACAAATTCTGTTGATGAAACGTTTTATATAGTATATCTATATGTATCAGCTATGTTGTTGTATAACAGTGCGCAACAAAAAACACATTAATATTAAATCAATCAATTTCCTAATACGCCCCACTACACCCTAGTAGCTACGTATACACACACACCCACATGCTCACACAAACACACACACTGAATCCTTGAATTAGCGTAAGTGTTTAGTTTAACGGTAACTAATATTAATAATGAAATTTAATGCTAATGTAAATAATACCTAATTAATGTTATTAATGTTAGTTAATTACAGCTTGTGTGCGTGTAAATAATTAATATAAATCGATATATTAGTTAATTACAAGAAAGCTTAAAGCATTACTTTTGCAATCAACAATAAATAAAAACAGCCTTTGCAGTGTTCGTAGCAAATAATGCCAAAACAAGTTGAGCCAGCCAGCAGTGACGTGAGAAAATGGTTTATACATTTTGCCGCAAGAGTAAATATAACTGTTATTAATTTTTATTTTTTTTTTTTTTGTAATATTAAATAACTGCGAAATGTCTTATAAATAGTGAATTTCTTAGAAAATATGTTTTACTTTTTAAACATTTCATTGCTAATTTCTTATATATATTGTGGTTAGTAGAAAATTTGTAACACAACGTTTGAAAACCGGTTCTATAAAGTCGATGTGCTGCCGGATTTTTTATCTGGAACTATTCGTGGCGTGTTTTACTGTGCTACAACAAAAACAATCACGTTAAAAATGATTTTAAACAAAGTTTTGTAGCATCATTTTTGGTTTAGCTTTTTAATTTTTATTTTGCCATGCAAAATTCTTTTTAAATATTTTTATTATTTATTTAAAAATTTTAATTTGTTAAATCCTTTCAAAATCATTGAACATAAATGTTTTTGATTTTGAGTGGATTTTCAATTAAGCTGCTACTGCAAAAAGTGGCAGTTAAATTTCTTTGAACATTTTTAAACTATTCTATTCAAATTCGTAGAATTCAGAATAAAATTTTGTTTTTTGAGAGTTTAATTTTTTATATCAAAAAGTTAAAAGATTTTACATCAAAACTTTTCAATTTCTTCCATTTTATTTTAATTATTAAAATTTTAATTTTTCGTGCAAGAATCAAAAAATGTTCGTACGAAAAAAGGGCAAAATTGAAGTATAAAAGTTCGAAAAAGCACAAAAATTTGTTTCTTTAAAGATACAAATTTTTGTTTTTGCAAAAAAATAAAAACTTTTTTTTTGTATATTAAACTTTTTCCACTTTGTACCAATAATTAAAATTTTAATTTTTTTTCTGCAAGAATGAAAAATTTTTTCTTTTTAAAATTTTAAAAAAACTAAAATTTTTATTTCAAAAATTAATTATAAATATTCAAAAAGCTCAAAAAATATGCTACAAAAGTTGCTAAGACCCATGCTAAAATAACCGGTTTTCAATTTTCTGCCTTTGCTGACACTGTCAGGAAGTTTGTCACTGAAATTCAATATTCTATTTCAACAAGCAGCAGAAAGGTGTGAGTTGCTGTGTAGAAAGATATTACTAAAAAAATTCTCTTAAAAAACAAATACAAAATTTTCTAATAACTTTACATACAATTGGCATACTACAGACAAGTAGATACATACATACTATGTAATACTTTCTTAACAAAAAAAGCAAAAACTCTTACAACACACCGTTACATCCGTGTTATAATTTACTCTTTGCAAACACTTTTCTGTTTTACTTTCTCTTTTAACATTCGTTTCTTAATTCTCTGTTGATAAGCCATTATTTATATATAACATATATAATACCGAATCAAACTTGCTAATTTTTTAAAATTAATTTTCTGCTGTTTTTGTATTATATAGCAATTAAAAATAAACAATAAAAGCTAATGTCAATAGCAACAAGTCAATGTAATTAATAATTTTTTAATATAAATACAAATAGTTATTTGTTTTTAGTTACTGACTGCAATGCGTAGGTGTGGAAATAATTAAATATCTTCTATTTTTATATGGTGTGGTGTGTATGCACTGGCGGGTGGGGTATAGGAAATAAAAACTTAATGTGGTTACAGAATTTTAAATCAAAAGTGAAAAATTAATAGAACTAATGAAAAAAATCAAAGAATTAATTTAATAAAAAAATATATATATTTTATATATATATATATATATTTTTCATAAATAAAAATTAAATTTTTCAAAAAAAAAATATTATAAAATCCTTAAAAAAATATATAAAATTTCGAAAAAAAATATAATTAAAAAAAAATATAATTTAAAAATAATAATTTTTCCAAAAAAAAAGTAATAAAAAATTCCAAAAATTTATAATTTTGTGTAGTTATTTAAAATATCGCCGGAAAGAAAAAATGTGTACTCAACTCGTTTAATCTCTGTTTGACCTTTTGCGCTTTCCTACGGATTTGTCCAACTTGAAAAATGTGCCAAGCCGCTTAGTGAGCTTGTAGCCAGCACTATCTAATATTACCTGATTTTATTATTACCTTTTAGTTATAATAACATAACAGCGCGACGCTAAGCTGTCTTTAGAAATTAGTTTTGTTTCCTTTGCTACTTATTTACTTTAAATTTTATTCTATTGTATTAGACGCAAATTACACTTGTATGTAGCGTAAAGTGCTGAATGCCAGCGCTGGCTTGTGGAAAATGGTGAAATATTTTTTTTTTTTTAATGTATTTTTTCACTAGCGGTTATTTTTCAGCAGCAAATTGCATATAAAAAACTAAATCATTTATTGAATTAATGTTTTTAAGCGAACTTATTTTTAACCCAGTTTCTACATTTTTTTTTTTTACTTTTCAAATATTTTTCTGTACATCTAACATTGCTACATACTCACATATTTTATTAACTCCCTCTACTTTTAACTTATTTGCGTTATTATTTGCGGTTTATGTGCAAATTAAGTGCGTTACAACAAACAACAAAGATAGCAGAAAGCAAAAATGAAAATCAACAACATTTAACTACTTATAAAACTATTGCTAATCGTAAATATTTAACGTTTCTTTAAACGAAACTCAAACGAAATTATTTCAAAAATAATACAACTAGCCTAGTTAAGTTACTAAGTGAGCGCAGCAGCAAAATTGAAATTTAAAGATGAAGTTATGAAGAAAACTACAAAAAAAGAAATAAAATAAAAAACAATAAAAGTTGTAAAATTTCTAAAAAAAAAACAGTACAAAATAATAATAATTTAATAAAAAGAAAATGTGTAAAAACGAAATTTAAATTAAAAAACTGTTATATATGCCTATCTTTTTCATTTTCAAAAGCGTATTGAAATTAAAATTAAATTTAAAAGTTTAACAAAATGTAGTTTTAAAACAATTAGTTTATAAATATTGTTATACACAATCAAACTAAACAAACACAAAAAAAAATATACATATACATATATAAAACAAAAAACAACTAAATATTGAAATTATAAAATTACTTCGCTATATTTAAAAAAAATGTACATTAAAATAAAAACTTAACATAATTATAATTAAATTTAGTACTTTAATAACACTACATGTAGATAATATATAATTACTAATTAAATATAGTTAAAAAAATCAAATATGTAAATATGTCAAGAAAGCAGTTAGTAATGAGCGCGTGCATGTTGTGGCAGCGTCGTAGTTGTAGCGTTAACGAGTAAGCGTGTAGCAGTGTTGGTGTCCCCAAGGCGCACGTGCAGGCGTTTTTTTGTTGTATTGGCACGAAAAATATTTTTTCTATAAAACCTACATATTTTTAAATTTTGTTGCACGCGTTTTCTATGCAGGCATAGAAATCGTTAATTGGTGTAAGCGAAACAAAAAAAAAAATGAATATACAAAAATTAAAAAAAATATGAAATTAGCAAAAATATAAAAATATAACAAAATATGCAAAAATATGAAAAATAAAAATGAAAAAATAAAATTGGTTTTGAATAGTATGAAAGTTACAAAAGTGTTAAGAGAAAAAAAATGCAATGATATAAAAAATATTATTAAACTGTGCAAAAATAAAAAACATAAACAAAAATAAACAACACAATATTTTTTTTATTGTAATGAAAATTACAAAAATTTATTCAAAAATAATAATATAAATTACGAAAAAAATTCTTTAAAATAATGAAAATTACAATTTTTTTTAAATATTTATTAAAAATAATTTTTATGCAGTAAAGATAATTACAAAAATTTCTTTAAAAAATAATAACGAAAATTACAATTTTTTTTTAATGTCAATTAGTCATGAGAATTACAATTATTAAGAAATAACTGTAATAAATACAATTTTTTTTATAATAATAATGAAAATTACAAATTTTTTTTTAAAAAATGTCAAAAGTTAATAAAAAAATATATTTTCTAAAATTTAAAAATAACAATTATTCTTAAATTTAAAAAAAATTAATAGTAATAAATATTTAAAAAATTTAATACAGTTCAGAATAATTACAGTAACTATGAAAAACAACAAAAAATGCAGAAATGAAAGAATAAATTTATAACTTTTACACAAAACTCTTTCTCGCCACTGTTAGTTGCTGCTGCTACTGTGGCTGTTTGAAAATGAAATAAATATTCTGTGCCTCGCAGCATTTGACACCTGCACAGCCGCCCGAACACGCCTAGATTTTGTAAATATGTAGTCTATACGATTTTTATTGCTAGTACAGTAAGTTTCAAAGCAAAATAATGCATACAAAACTATATATATATAGTACATATATAAATATAGCTATGAAGAAACCCAATGAAATTTAAAAAAAAAGATGCATAAACACCCACACACACACACACTTGTAATTAAAGCTATAATTAATGAATGAGCGCGATGCACACGCATTCATATTGTATATATTAAATATACATACAAATACATACATACACTTGTTGCTGCTATGTTTCTTGTTGGAAGCTGTTCGCTGAGACGCAAGTGCTGGTGTGTGGTGTGCGTTTTGTTATAAAATATTGTACTTTTAACACTTGTAAATATGCCTATAAATATATTTTATTATTATATACATACATAGTAAATGGAAATGAAGAGGGAAAAACAAAAACAAAACTTTGAAATAAGCAACGCGTTGTGCAACTGCGCTCAGCTAAATTTTAATTTAAATTAAATACTTATATATAATATATGTATATATATATATATATATTTGCAACAACTATGTATAGTAACCTGTAAAAAAACACGTAGATAAGTATACTTAAAATTATTTTTCATCATTAATACATTTTATTTGATTTTTATTACATTTACTTTAATTGTTTACTTTTAATTTATCGCTAATGAGAGAATTTAATTGGCCTGTGACCCTAAAATATAAAAACACGCAAACACATACACTTACACAACCGTACACACACACAACCCAAACCAATGTGAAAATAAAAAATTTTTATACTTGAAAAAAAAACTGATAATTTGTGTTTTTGCATTTTTTGAAATAAGTTGTTTCTAAATATTTCTACATATTTTTAGTTTATTCGTCCTGCATGGGCGTATGCGGAATTTTACTTTTTTTTGTATTTTTTTTTATTTGTTTCTAAAACATTAGGTTGCAAACTTTTTTGTGACATTTTTGAGTACTTTGTTAAATTTTTGTATAAATATTCTCATAACGGAACTATGTTATATGTATGTATATATTGGCAATAATAATGGAAAAAAAATTAAGTTTTTAGAGTATTCAGGCTGCACCGTTAATTTAGTCGATTGCTTATACTAATACGAATATGTATGTAAATTGCTAATTTACTCAATTAAGCGGCTGTCTGGAACGAATTTTTACATAATCTGTCATTTATAAAACTTCAAGAGACATCTGAATGCCAAAAAATAATACTTCTTGAACTCATAAGAAATCAACTAATAAAATTTTATAATAAACTTAACAGAGTATATTACGTTTGCAACGAAGTTTGAAACACCCAAAAGGAGACGTCAGAGACCCTAAAGAGTATATATAATATATAAATGATCAGCGTGACAAGCTGAGTGGATTTAGCCATGTCCGTCTGTCCGTCCGTCTGTAAAGATGCGAATTAATCCCTCAGTTTTTGAGATATCGATCTGAAATTTTACACACGTGCTTTAAAAGCATATAACTGCCATACAAACTGAACGATCGGTATTAAGTTTTAGTATAGAAAACTTTTTTATTCGACGACTTATCTTCACGAAATTTGGCATGCATCACTATACGAAGCAACGGTATAATCTTCGAATAAATTCTTCAAATCGGACCATTATAGTACATATATAGCTACCATACAAACTGACCGAACTTATATGGAACATTTTTTATTTGTGAAGATTATTATAGCTTCGGTGCAGTTAACGTTTTTTCTTGTTTTTCTTTTTCAATTACAATATATTGTACTAATCATTAAAAGCTTTATGGAATTTACCATATTATCTTAGTTAACATTGCCTTGAAGATAAATTATTTATATACATAAAATATATTGCTTCGAAAAAAATTTTGGTGCGTCAAATATTGAACACCTACATACATAATATCTAAGATTTCAAAATTAAAAAAGAAATTGATTTTATGTTTTTTTTAAATAAATATTAAATAACAATTTTTTTAAAATTTTAAAAAATTAATAAATAAATCTTAAAACTAAAATAATATATATTTTTTGCAAATATATAATTTTTAAAACCAAATATTAACAAAAAAAAATGTTAAGAAAAAAATAACAAAAAAGACCAAGTCAAATTCAAAAAAATCTGTTTTTTACTTCTAAATTATTAATTAATAAAAATTATATATTGAAGGTCTATTTTTGAAGCTTAAAAACAATTACAATGAAAAATTAATTGATAAGATAAAAAAACTTATTATCGTTTCATTTATTATTGTATGTAATAAAATATGTTGAGAAAATAGAGAACAAATAATTTAATATTTTATTAAATTCATATTAATTATTATTTACTATATCTTTTGTTATTTATTATTGTTCTAATATTTTTCATTACTGTAGAAATTAAAATTTTTTTTAATTCTTAATTTTTTTTCAATTTTGTTTAATTTCTGTAAAACTTTTAAATTTTCTGTGAACTTATTTTTTTATAAAAAAAAATTTGTTTTTTTAACTATTTTTAAAATATTTAAAAAAAATTTTTTTTTGTTGTAGTATTATTTTTCATTTATTTGTTTTTTAAGTTTGTTTAATTTCTGTAAAACTTAAATTTTTTTCAAATTTATTTTTTTATATTAAAAAATTTTATTTTTGTGTTATTTTAAAATATTTTTTTAAATTTTTTTTTGTTTTAGTATTATTTTTAAAACGTCCATTTATAATTTCCTCCACTCTTATCTAAATGTATTACCATGTTGTATAATTATATGTTTTTAAATCCCTTGAAATTCATAAAAAAATACAATTCCAGCCAAAAATATGTACATTTTAGAGGTTACAATAAAACTTAAAATATTTTTAAAAAATTCCTTTTCATTCAAAACACCAAAATTAAATTTTTTAGGTAATTAAATATTTTATTTTTTCCACTTTCGACATTGTATGCGTAAATTGTTGTAAAAATAATCAAATTTTTATTGGAAATAAATACATGAAAAATACAAATTTAACAAACAAATATCTTGAACCAAAATTATGAAAACCAAATTATTAAAAAACGATGAAAAAGACACAAGAAATTAACAAAAACGTGAAAATAACTTAGTCAGTCCTTGCAACAAAATCATACCAAGTTTTAATCTTTAAAAGAAATGAATTACGAAATCGAAATAAACGAAAACATAAAAACAATTTTATTATGCAGAAAAAATTGTGTTTTTAATAAAAGACACATAAGTTAAAATTTTTAAAATTTTATTAAAAATAAGAACAACAACCAAAACCATTGGCAGCAAAAACCAATCGCAAAAAGTCAACAATTTTCATAAAAACATTTAGCATACAAAAAAAAAATTATATTAAAATAATAAAAAATATTTGCCACAGCAAAAGTTTTTTAAAGTTCATTTAATTATAAATCTAAAAACTAAGCTGATTACATAAGTTTACTTGAAAAGCAGAATTGATTACCTTGATAAGTGCAGACATAACCTAAAAATTGTAGTCCTAGCCGTCGTATGTAGCTGACATTAATACACACACACACACAAACACATGCAATCGATTGCTGTCTGTTGATTTATAATCTAAGTTGTATAATACATTATAGTACATACATATTTAAATCATTGAAAAGTATTATAAGTTATTATAAGCATAATTCTTACTATTGAGAAAAAAATCGAAGAAAAATCCTAAAAAAAAATACTAAAATAAATGAAAAAGAACATTTTAAACATAAACATTTGTGTGTTTGTTGTTTTTTTTTCAAACTGGAGATGGCGAGTTTCTAATTTGTCAAAATCAAAAAAATCGAAATTATTATGAAAAAACGTATTCCTTTGATCAATACCTGACACATATATCAAAAAAGGTTGTGTTCCAACTGTTCGGAGAAATTTTCCTGACCGACTCTGAAAACAACGTTGCAAAAAAGCAATAAAAAATACTTAGCAATACGCTCATATCTCCGAAACTATTTGCCGGAACAACTTAAAATATTCTAAAAATATTGTCAAATATATACGTATTTACAATCGATATAGTACATGTAAACAAAAAATCGATTTTTTGAGATTCACAATTTGATATAACCCCTTAAAAGATTTACTTCATCTCTGCGAAGAATACATCTACCCTCAAATTGCTTATGGCGAATTTTTCGCCCTTGTAAAGCTTTTAGTGACAATACCATTCTATTTTGAACTAATTCTAAATTTCTCAACAACCAGAACGAAATAGGGAGTAGACACATGAACGAACGTGAATTTAGTCGTTCTTGCTGCTTTTGGGGTTTTTATGTTCTTTTTTCGCCATTTTTGAGTTATGTATCTTTCTTCGAAAATTGCAATATTGCCTTGGATAATAATCTATGACTAACTTCGTAAAGATATCTGGTCATATGAAAAAGATTTCCATACAAGGATTTGATCGATCAGTTCGTAAGGTAGCAAGATTCTATTTTAGCCCGATATCGGCAGTGACCACAAATAAGCAGCTTTTTGTAGGAGAAAAAACGTGTACAAAATTTCAGGTCTATATTTCAAAAACTGAGGGAGTAGTTGACGTATATACAGACAGACAAAAAGACTCAGCTCATAACGCTGATAATTTATATATGTATATATATGTACTTCAGAAGTGTCTCCGACGTTTTCTTCTGGGTGTTAACAACTTCGTGGCAAGCTTAAGATAACCTGTTCAGGGTATAACAATTACTATTTTCATAAATAACGTTAATTTTTGTCCCACTTTTGGTCAGCAAATATCAACACTGTTCCAAACGAAAAGCTTTTTTTGTACCGCAAGCACTTTTTAACACTTCAAAAGCTTCACAAATTTTTCGCATTCGGCATAAACGCACTCACACATACACACAAGCACAGGCAATCGACGGAAGACGCCACTGAACGCGCCACACGAATGAAAGCCGGAACTAATAATGGAGCGACGAGCCTGCCGAAATTAACATCCACCACCAACAATAACAACACACATAATAAGCGCACGTTTGCTACAAATACCGCCAAGCCAAAGAACACGTACATTTGCAATGGGCGCGAATGGCACTACTCGCATACAGCTTACACCAAAACGTATAATAACAGCGCACAATAACATTAAAATACAACAACAAGAAAGTGTAGCAAGAACATACTGCATGAGAGCAGTTAGTTGCAGGGAGTACTTGACTTGATTCCTCGCCATCGCCATCGCCATCGCCGACTCGTCAATCGCAATGTGGCAGTCGTGTGAAGTGAACGCGTAAAACGCAACGCTTGTGAAAATGTTAGCTTTGCGTTGCAATAGTATACTTTAAAAGTTGTGTGTTTTTCTGCTTTTTTGTGACATTAACAATGCGTTGCGACCAATTACGGTGTCTTATTGAAGTGAAGTCGAGCGTAAACGAAGTGAAAATGATTAAGCAATATTGATTAAGAAAATGCAAAATTATGTAAATCAATTTGGTCAAAGCGCAAAGCAAATTAGGAAAAAGAAGTAATCACATACATATGCAAATGTGTGTGTGTGTGTGTATGTGTATGTGTGCCAGTTACTTATGCGCTTAAAGTACATTTTACGGTGAAATGAGTTGAGTTTAGCAAAAAGTTCGTTGTGAAAAATTCGCCACAAACACGCAGCGTGTGCTAGTATGTAAGTAAGTGTAAAATAAAATAAAGCAAAACAAAAATTGAAAATTTTTTAAGTGGTTGCAATACGATATTGTGTAAAATGTGGAAACAAGGGCAGTAGTGGCTATCGAGAAAAGTTTTTTTCCCTCATTTTACTTCCCATTTTCAACTCGCTGCAGTAAAACGCACCCACCACCACCTTTGGGGCAAGCAGCGCTTTCGCTTCGTTTCGTCTCGCCTCGCCAATACGTACTTGTCACACGAAACGCAAACACACCCACACCACACGACGGCTTGAAATTGGTTTTTTTTCCCGCACCCTCTTATTCTGCTGCCGCTGCTGCTGCTGCTGCTTCTTCTACTTCTCCGCTTGTCCTTTGCGAACTGCTGCGAAGCGTGGACGATGTTACGTTGGTTATTCAATTATGTGAAGAGTGCAATAATATATGGAAAGTAAATTATTTATTATAGAAAAAAAATATATTAAATAAATTATTGCAAGCAATCCGTTTAAATAAATAATACTCGTATATAACATAAGGCTGCAATAGTGACGCGCTGTGCAAAAATATAACCGCAAAATGCATGCAATATAACTACAGTTATTGGCAAAATGTGCCGAAAATTACTATGTACCGTTTGATTAATGTGCTGCATTGCTGAGCGTGAATTCGCATGATTGATGATAAGCGAAGAATTGATTTACTTACATTGTGATGTGTAAGTGCTGGCAGAAATATTAGAAATAGTACAAATAAAAGTAATTTTGGTATGAAACAAATGCTTTTATATTTCGCATGCATATGTGTGTATATATAGTACAATATAACCTATTTCATGTTTACTTGCACATATAGATTTTGTATTCAGTCGTGCGTAATTGGAAAAAATCAGGATATACAGTCGCTATGTACATTTGTATGTAATTGAATTTCTTGCGGCCTATATACATTAGGATGCCCGTTATTTCCCAAATTAATGCTGTAAACACAGTAGCACCTTTTTCCAGAGTTCTGCTGGAAATGACGTCGCAATGGCCGAGTTTTGAATACTTTGCTTCGAAAATCGCACTAAATCTTTATCAAATATGTATCTTCGGAATACTAAAAAGTTTGAATAAAATATTTCATTTTTTATATGAAAAAAAAAAATTATTAAAAATAGGGCGTTTTTTGCTCGACGAAAGCCATGTAACCCCTTAAGCAATTAAAACTACTACTATATTCTTATACAAAACTTAACGCGCAACAAAAATGGTCCTAGTTATTTTTTCATAGAAACATTGCTTCAAAAGTTATATGCAGTTAAAGTTATATATCAAACATACAGAGCCTTCATACAAATGCCTTATAAAATCTGTGTTGCTCATACGCCATGGTGCACTGCATGCATACATTAATGCTGGCAAATGTGTTTTATACGTAATGACAATAAAAGCTATTTTTATTGCCAATTTACTGTTAGTAACTTTAATAAAGTACTGTTTGCACGTGCGATCCGTCGAAATGTTGACTCAATTGCAGCTTTCAACATTTTTTTGTAATAAATTTTGGAATAAAAAATGCTGTATTTGCAATAAATTTTGGAATAAAAAATGCTGTATAAAGTGAGATTTAGTTACAGCAGGTTATGATGCATGAAATTAATAAAATGAAGTTAAATTTAGTTAACAAAAATTCATTTCGTACTAGGTGTGTTACTTTTTGAACATGCCTATTAATTTTCATTGAAAAGTAATTTTTTATTCATCAAAAATTTTCGTCTCCACAGAAGTAATTCGCCACAGATCTAATATACTTATGCCACTGCTTTTTCTCAAATCCTCAAATCCACTATAAACTTTTTGTAACACTTTTCGATTGAAAACAATGTAAAAGCAAAATATCTAGCGTATATCGGTCGTTTGTGCGCTTCAATCAGAACGGATGGGTTACGGTTTTGATGTTACGTATAACTATATTCCTAGGAGAGATGTTTTCGAAGAAATCAGTATTAATATTAACATTATTCCACAGAGATGTTCATGCAATGGTTCTACTGATTGGATAAATACTTCGGTAAAAACTTTTCTGACAGACGTATCTTGTCTCAAACATTTGGAAAAAATTTATGTCACATATCAACTGACATGTTTACGTTATTGGCAAAATCTTTAATAAAGTTTTGACGAGTCTTCAACAACATCTCCTTCAATTTTTGGAAATTTGTTTCACTCATTATTATGATCAGTTAAAATTGAGTCTGCGATATTTTCTAGATTTTCTGGACTTGTTTGAAGAAACATCGCGAAAAAGTAAAAGTTACTTACTTTTTTTCGAAATTAATGCAGAAAAGTAAACGTAGTGTGTGCACAATTTGTGAAAGAAGTTTTTTCAGGATTTTCATCAGCTATTTGAATTTACGTAATTTACTTGACTTTATGAATAAACCTCGTAAAAAAATTAAAAATAACTTTCGAAAATTAGTTTGCTTTTCGAAATTAATTCTTAAAAGTAAATGTATTGGGAAGACAATTTTTGGAAGTAGTGTTTTAATGCTGTAATACTTTTAACCAATATATTTATTTATATAAATAAGATTTCAATATATTTTCATCTACATATATAATTCGGCTATAAATATTTACCGGATATTTTGATTGAAAATATGATGAAAAGTCATTTTATTGTGACGAGTATACACATGGGCGGCTTAATAAGTTTTAAGTTGCTCAGAAAATGCTAATAAATCCATCTGATCTGATGATGATCTAATGGTTGAAATGGTTCTTGAAAAGAAGCAAATAACAAAATACACTTTTTACATTATTACAGTTATATCTATGGTTCTATTGTATGGCGAAAATAATAGCGTTTAATGATAATGTGCGCGATTATAATTTCTTATATAAGGTAGAGCAAGTGTTGGCTGTTTACGAACCGGCATTAGCTTGGAAATATCTTCCAACCCATACCAGATGTTTGGAGCATATTTTTTCTACTTTTTTGAAAGCAACCTACATTGTTTTATTCGTTATTCACATTACCAATATTAAAACACTTCCTAATTTACTAAAGTAATAAGAAAATACGATATGTTTTGGAGATCTTTATCTTGATTTTGATTGCGCAGTTTGTATGACAGCTACATGCTATAGTTGTCCGATCTGAACAATTTGTTCGGAGATTGCAGCGCTGTTTGGGAGAATAATCCATGTCGAATTTCGCGAAGAAATATCTTCAAATGAAAAGTTGGACGGGAGATGGACGGACAAACAAATGGACACGCCTAAATCGAATCAGCTCGTCACACTGATCATTTATAAATATATTTTTTAGGAGCGTCGACGTTTCCTTTTGAGTGTTACAAACTTCGTTGCAAACTCAATATACTCTATGACAACAAATCTTGAATAAACAATAGTTACTTTGACAACATTTTTTTAGTGATCGGACAATGTTGTGAAAGCGCTTTCAGACGTTTAGGATTTTAATTGATTTTTAGAAAGTGCTTTCCTTGTCAACTCTGATCACACCATAACTTTATATATATACTTTATATATATATTAATTGTCTTGTAGTCGACACACATACATCAATATTTACATGCATGTGCGTAAGCTACATAAATATGACTACATTGTCAAGAATTTACTTATTGTTAGACGGACAAGCAATAAATTGAAAATGAATCCAAACTCACACCCATCCACCCACAATGACTTACAAACATACGTACATAGTTGTAGATGAACAAAAATGCACACAATAGTACGCATACCGACACGAGCGCAGATGAACAAAGTAAAAGGAAGCACACACACGTACATACATACAAACATCCCTACATTTATGTATATGTAACTATGTGCATTTCTACAGCTATGGATATGCTCACACCAAACCGAGAGTTATCCAACGTTGCCGAACATCCGGACAAGCAAACCATGCCCCCATCTGCCCGGCAAAGAAACACGCTTACTTAGCGCACCAGCACATTGCCGCCACTTGCTGAATCGAAATGTTCGCATTCTAGTACGAGTACGTCCAACAATGTGCCACTCATACAGCGGCGACAACACAAAGTAGCTCAAGCCATCTGCATCTGTGATATGGGCAAATCTAAACATTGGATATTTTATTGCTTTGTTGCAATCTCGCATCAGCCCACTGAATCGCTCATGCGCCATCCACCCACCGTCAGTGAACTACAACCGACGTACCTTCTTTACATTTTCCATTTTCAGCGGTTCCTTAAGACTTTACCTTAGTCGAAATTGTTGCTTTCTTCGGGTTTCGCTATCAGCTTTGGCAGCCGTTGCTGCATAGACTTTGCTTAAGCTCATTTACTCTGAAAATCCCTTAGTTGTGGTTAACATAAAAAAGTATGGAGATGCTTAGGCGGATTTTAGGTTGTCTCCGAACGTTGAATGGATTTGATGCAGTAACGATTTCTAGCCTGAAATGTGCTTGATGGCGTGAAAATGTCTATTGGAAAGCGATAAAGAAAAATGTTCAAATGTTTTTTGTTTGAGACGTGGTCGGGTTTTGAACCGAAGGTCTTTTCAGTGATGGCCACAGATCCAACTAGCTCATTTGCGGAAGTCAGGTAGTCTTATGGAATACAGTGATTTAATAAAATAATCTTCAATAACAAGTACGAGTTAATGAAATGGATTTCTCAAGAAGATTTGAGGTTTACAAAGATTCGAAAGAACCCGATCTTTTTTAACGAAGCCATCTTCCTTGGTAGTTACAGGCAAGTACTGCGTACCAGTATATTTCTGATACGAAAAACTTCGTTCGTATTTTTGAAGGGGTTATAGAACTCTTCATTTGTTCGATAACATCGTTTGTCTGACGATCTTTATCATGTAAATGACAACGAGTTTTGTTGAAAGTTTGGGATTTTTGTTTTGGAAAGTTTACTTCATAACGAACATAAGTATTTGAGTGGCACCAAGCTTTCAGTAAAGGTCGTGCAGTCATCGAAAACTTGACTACTCATGTGAGTCGTCCACCCACCTCTGTTAATGACGATAA